TATTCACTATGTTCCTAATGAGATAACAAATCTGTAACACACATACACTAGTATGTAATTGGCTGTTTGGTCTCTTAAAATACCAGAATTTACAACATAATAACTTCAGTAAGCTTTGAATTTTCTTTGCAAACTTCAGAAAAAGACAGATTTTGGAAAAGCATCTTCATATGTCAATCATATGTACAAAAATATATATATTGGTCAGGAAGCTATTCCTGCCAGTCGAAATTTTCACCCACACATTTCTTTCCAAGAAATACATATATGTTCTAGATCTGAAATATGGAAATGAAAGATGAAAAGGTCATCTCCAATAATGGATATAAAATATAAGACTTTTCTTAAGTATACCCAGGCCCTTCTCCGAAGAAGGCGCAGTGCTTACAGTTTTTTTTATAATTTATTATATATTCATACAAATTTTTTTGTCCTGTGAATTTCTCACTTTGCTATCATGAGAAATAGGATAACTAGACTTGGTATATGGGTTCCTTGCAAGGTCTACATGTCTTGTCACTGTGTCAGACAGGATTCACCTGACTTCATTTCATGGATTAGTGATCAAGGTTAATGTAACATGATTAGGTTTGTTTGTCAGATACTATTATCAGTTAATCAAAGTTCTATATGTGGTGTATGAAACAATTGTAAAGTGTACATGTCAGTCTGGTGGGTTTCATCTGACCATTACCTTATTTTCATGGTTTATTGAATTGGTTAATGGTAAGTTGAACATGTTTTGGTCTGTATTTTTCAAATACTATAAGCAAATGGTCAACTTTATTGGGTGTACAGTATGGAATGGTTGTAGTAAGGTGAACCTGTCTGGCAGGTTTCATCCATCCTTGACCTCTGCTCATTCTTTTATTGCATTGGTCAATGTTATGTTTCCGTAGTTTGGTCCTATTCTCAGATACTAGAGTATAAGTTAAAAGTGACTATATTTGGTGTATGAAATGATTGTAAGGTGCACATGTCTGTCTGGCAGGATTCATCTGACCTTGACCTTAAATTCATGGTTCATTGGTCAATGTTTAGTTTTCCTGTTTGAGTCAGTCTCTTACAGATACCATTAGCAATAGGCCAACTATATATGAGAAATACTTATGAAAGCTATACGCATGTATCAGTGCACATGGTTAATAGTGGAAGCAATGAATAAAGAATTGGCAACCATAATATAATAATTTAAGCATCTGAATCCAGATCACCTAGAATCCGAGACTAATTATAACCCTTATTGTCAGCTTTAACAACTCATTAAATCAAAAATTAACGCAAGTCTTGATCGGTTATCATTCTTCTCATTTTGACAAATACATGTACATGCAGAAAAATTTGTACAAAAGACATTTCTGTGAAGTTCCAGAATTGGCTATGGATGCTGAGAACTCTTAGCTAGGATTTGATAACTACACTGTACCGTTTTTGAAATATCTGGATTTTTTCACAATATCAGTAAGGCAATACTGGATGTATCCTGTGAAATTACTGCTTAACACTTAAACTCACTTGTTGATAATACTAATTCCCGTGGAAAAATTAACATTCAAATACTTGCTAAGGCAAATTTTCATAAAATATGGTATGATTGCCAATGAGACAACTATCCACTGAAGACCAATGGACAAGGATGTTAACATTGCAGTCATGGCAGTAATGCTCATAAATAATTTATGATTTAAATTTAACTTGAGCTCAGTTGTAAAATGCATTGGCAATTACATTACAAAAAAAACAATATACCGTTGATAAGTGTTTATTTGTGATCTTAAACAGCTCAAATCAATTTAGATTCAAACTGTATCGTCTTTATCATTGAGATGAGTACACATGACATGTACTCAGTAAAAGGATATGTTGAATTTAGATTGCAACACGACGACGTAAAAAACATAAGAAAAGCATCATGTGCATTCACTAAACTGCAGGCTCAAGATTTCATGATCTGAAGTAATTACTAGTCATGAGGATACACTCTTAGACTTAACAAATTTAAGACAATAGAAACGACACCATTCCATTTTTTTGATCTGACTATTCTTCTGTACAGCCTTGATTGATTTGGCTACTCATTTGTGTGAAAAACCTAGCTGCAATGACCTCATCACCAGCTACCTGAAGATTTTGACCACTTCCAGCAGCTTTCAATAACTACAGGACACATCGATACCATGGATACAAGGGAACAAATCCAAAATAGCAATGAAGGTTTACCAATCGGCAAGACAAAAGACTGGCAACTCCCAGACATGTCCTGGCTTTGAACAGACACATTTAAAGGATTTAAATTATGAATTTATTCATCTATAAACAAGTTTTGAAATAGTCAGCATTTAATAATTGCCGTTCAGCAAGTGCAGATAGAAACAAGAAAAAGATTGCAATCTTTGAAATGAGTTCTTTTTAGAGTACTCTTGCTCAGATGAGAGTGTTGGTTTTGGGAGTATTTTTTTTTCATGGTGTGTACCACTGTCCAGTCTGCCTAAAATATTTGAAGTTTGAACAACACATGTTTTCTGCAGTCACTCCAGCTTCCTCCACCAATAAAAAAAACAAGTCTGATATAGGGAAGAGTGCTGAAAGGGACTTTAAATATCAACAGTCAATCAATCACACTTGCTGTTGAGGATATTCTTGTTGATGTTTAGAAAAAAGTAAACATCTATCTTACACTTAAGTGCAATGTTCTTACACTGCCTGTGTGGTCTTTTGTTTATTTCCTGTGTCACAATTAGGGGATGTCTTGTTCAATGGCAAAGTATGGGTTGGTCAATCCAGACTTAAAATTTGGAATTTGTTGCTTCTCTACCAACAACTCAGCATTTAGGAGTGGTTTACTTATAGTCAAAGTAATGTGTATAGTTGGTTTGGCATGTCTTCCTGCAGATCTAAGTTTATTTTTTGAAAATTTTTTGGATTACAATATAATGAGATGACCATGAAATCTACACATGCCAAGAACTTTAAGTAGAATTTAAATAAAAAGAAGTCATGGTCATGATGGTCCAATTTGAATATATGTTGTCCGTACACATGCATAACAGTTTTGTTTGTTGTTGCTCATTGCCAAGCACAAAATGCACATTAGTAAATCTGTTGCAATTTTTGGGCTCATTTACACTTAGAATGTACTTAATTCCCCTTGTGTTGGTTATGTTAAAGAAGTAATAGCTGTAATAGATTCAAATATGTCTTTCTGTAGGATTACAGCATATACAAGAAAGAAATATGGTTTTTAATAAAGATCCCTCATGATTGTTATGTGACCTTTGCTTTTTAAGTGTAGATGAGCCATTTGATACAAGTTTCCACTTCCTGTTGTGTGACACTTGATGTTGACACTTGTGGTGTAGATCTATGTCATGATTATTCAGAACAATTATTCTGTCAAATTTTATAACTGACTTCAGGTCGGATAATGGAGATTGCATTTGACCATTTGTGTTGTTCATTGTTGTCAGTAAAGAATGGTTGTTTCCTCTCCCACACTGGCACATTTTGATGTGTTACATATTTTAGTGGCTTAGTTTTGTACATTTCTAGAACCGAATTTGGAACAAGGCATTATTTGGCATACTTTTGTTCCCGAATGAGAGTTTTAAAGCTTATTTTTCTGGCAAGTCTTTAGTCATTATAAAATCTTACCAATCTATGAATTGATTTCATACTATTCAATGGTCAGTGGGTTTTGGTCTATTTATATCAAAACTTCACCACTAAATTAAACTGGATTATGCTAAAGAAAATTCAATTAGAGAAACACTTTTTGTATTTATACATGTGTGTACATGTAAATTGAATAACGAATTAGCCACATTAACATGATTAAAAAACAGTCATAGATTTTGTTTATAAAGAATATGTTAATATCTTTTTGAAAACTCGTGCCATATGAACATCAGATGAAATTATCACACACCGTACTTGACATGAAAAATTACGATAATATCATCATACATGTACTATGTTGTGCCTGATAACCGTCATAAACACAATTATATGTACACAGGAAAAAATGAATGATTTGGAATTTTACATAGCATCAAAATAATTAATACATTTACGTGACTGAATGTGTAACCAAATGATATGACCGCCAAATAGCAAGGCAGTATGTTAACATGAAACGCAATCTATATGCATTCAATTCAGTAGAAAATTCTAATTAATAAAATCAACAACTGGAATTATATACATGTATGATTGAAAAATACACTAATACACTTTTATTGTTAATTTTTTACATAAATTGAACATAGTCATTGATAGTTGGACAAAATTTACAGTATACACCTGAATGAATTGTACAAAAAAAAACAAGTTTGCAGTTTAATATGTTATAATATTATATCAGAGAATAAGAAATCTCATTTTCTACATGATAAATATTTATAAATTTAAAAAAATTGAAGATCTACCAAAAAAAATTAATAAAGTTATTTCAAGGTGTGTATTGCACCTGATTTGATATTCTCTGATTTGTGTATTTGTTATTATATAAATCATGTAAATATTATATGTACACAGTGCTCTTATATTAACATGATACTCAATATGGGCTGATCCATAAAATGTGCTGTAAGATTTCAATTTGAGAAGTGTAGCAATGTAATTGAATATTTGCTACATGTCAATGTATGATTTGATGTTCACAATTTGACTTTGAAGAATTTTTGTGTGCTTCAAGTGTGATTGACATTAGCAATTGTACAATTATTTTGCATTTGTATGTTTTGATGCAACAGAATGGACAGGAAAATTAAATGCTAGTTTATATAGTTTTTTTTTCTTCCAAAATTTGCTCTCTAAGGAATATTTAAGCAAAAATTGACTTGAATTAAGTGCCATGAATTGCACTGTAATTACAACTCCAGCAATGTTGCATTAAAACTAATGGTCGCACATTTTACTTGGAACAGCCCACCCTTCTGCTTTCTATTTTCAGATCACTAACGCCATTTGACAGAGAATCATATTTCATTTTCTCGCTACAGGTTGACGCGACAAAGAAGTTGCCAACATTATACTTGATCGATTCCATTATAAAGAACCTCCCAAAATCTACTTACCCCAGTTTCTTCTCGCACAATATAGTCAACATATTTTGTAATATGTTTGAACAGGTTAGCATCAGGTTTTAATGATAAAATTTTATGGTGAGAGTAAAATATTTATGGAAGACAATCCTTGTTTGATAACCAATAAAGTTTCAAGCAGGATTCATTCTTATTTTAGATTTTGTATTTTATTGAGAAAAGTTGTTAATTTTTGTTTGAAAAAGTTTGTGTATTGAAATCCATAAAACTGGATTATTATTATGTTGTTGTGTATGGTGATGGTTATCATGGTTATATTATAAATGTCTGAAATTTTAAATTGGAGTTTTGAGTTTGCATGTATTTGAGATATGAATGACTCATTAAGCTTTTAACTCAAGAGGTCATACATTGTATTTTTTTGTAGAATTTTTTATTATATTTTTGTAGAAATTTTTATGTTAAATTCAATTGTATTTTGAAATTTGATAGTTTTTATTTTTATTGAAATTTTGGAATGTCTCAGTTGATGAAATATATATATATATATATATATATATATATATATATGTGTGTACACAAGTCAATTTTGTTTCATTGGGAAAAATAATTGCAATTAATAATATAATGTTTGCCTTGTTTTGATATCAAATTCTAATCTTTTTCTGAAGTTATTCACATCTCATAAACATTCATACTTTAAATTCAGATGTACCATCAAGCAAGGTAAACATGTCTTTTTTACACATAAGACCTTCACCTACAAAGTGTTATGTTTTGAAAAAACAAAAATAATTTGGGCAGATGACTGACTTCACTTAGCATTCATTGTCACTCTTATTTGATATTTTGGTCAGATACTTTGTTTCACTACTGTTACATGTATATAAATGTGTACCTGTGAAGTCCTTATGGATATTTGTGTACATGGAAATGATAAAACTGGAATTCATCTTACATGGGTTTAGAAAAATGTGAAATAAAATTTGTTTTCATCCGTTCAAATTTTCAAGTGCTGAAAGAAGTAATTCATATGCTGTATGCTAAAATAGTGTAAACCAGAAAAGTATTAATCTGTTAACCGAAAGTGTTCAAGGTGGCTGGTGAAATATTTGCCACTGTACATTAAACAAGCAACAATCAATCAAGGAGGAGGCTAGGATGCAGTAATCTTCAAGAACTTTTGAAAAAGACAACAACATGAGAAAGTGCATTATATATATATTTGAAAAATGGAATTTAGTAAAAAAAAAAAATATTCTCTTGAGGAAACCTATGCATATATATTTAAAAACATGCAAGCTAGAAGATGGAAATAACAGAAAATAAGTGAAAATTTTGAAAATCCCAGAGGCCAGAATTGGAAATTTAGTAAGAAAGACTGGAATTCTTTAAGGAAGTCTATGCATACATAGGAAGCAAGCAAGCAAATGGAAATATAAAAACATCAGTGCAAATTTTGAAATCTCCCAGTAGCTTGTATTAAAAGAAGACTTGGAACACCAAAGGAAAATTGCTGATGCATTGGATAGCTAGAGAATTATAATCGCACATCATTTATATATGTGATAGCTGATAGATTGTTATGAAAAACACCAATTGAAATCGAAATGTGATTGAAAATTTTCTAGTGAAAACCTTGAAGGAAGAAAAATTAGATGAAATCACTTGCATATATTGAAAGTGGTGTCAGTGAAATTTTAATAAGAAATGCCGCAAAGAAAATTACTGCAAGTTTATGTACACTTGTAGTCGATAAATCTTGTAACAATAGTGAAACAAAGTAACTATGATTTAAAAGCGTTTATATTTAAATTTACACATACACACAACATGGAATACACAAAAAAACAATAGATGACAGTAAACTTGATAGTTTCTTGATGTGTGCCAAAACATTTTTTGTTTGTTTACAATTTGACACCTTGAAAAAAAATATAAACTAAAAAGCTGATATATATACTGGAAAATGAAACATTTACCTTTTTTGAGTCAAACTATATATACCATGTATACTGTAAATTCAGAAATTAGTGCTATGTTTTCAATACTGGGAAAATCTTATCAACTGACTACCACAATAATTAAACCTTACATTCTTAATTTCATTTTCCCCTTGAATTGTCAGGTTGTGATTGATTTCTTTCTCTTGCACTACAAGTGTAAGTTGTTGTGGTTTTACAAACACAGCTGATGAACTCTGTAATCAGTTTGATAACTCATTCAGGCTGGATCTACCGCTACAGTTGTCATCTTTATGAATTGATAACACAAGTTTCTAGGTCCCCAAAGGTGGCATGAAATATTTAATCTTTGAAATTCTATTTGTCGTTTTAGACCTTCATGACATGTGCCTATGGTGGAGAAATGTGTGTTCACTTGAATTCAATTACAAAAAAGAGCAAGGAATTATAACAAGTTGTTTGCACAAATGAAACCTCCCATTTTTCGGGGGGACTTTGAATCCCAATATTAAGTGCACACAACAAATTCTGAATTTACAGTAGTCTGGACTAAAAAAGTTTTTCTGAACACAGACGTACACAAAAGTAAAAAAAAAATTCTCAGAAATATTTTGTTTACCTTCAAAACTGCAATCATGTTCAATTATCACAGAACTCTGAATCTTACACGAAAATAAGAACCAAACACATTCCTTAAAAATACCAGTTAAAGATTATTATATGATTACAGATATACATGTATGGCTGTACTTTGAACTTAACTACCATGTAAAAATTACGGGTTAAAAAGTGTAAACTTATTTAATTGGGTCCAGGGCTGGAAATGTCCTATAAATTCACAAAAATGACAAAAAACACTTGAATTTCTATTGTTTTTGAATTTTAAGTCTTTAACTGAATAGTTTTATGCTGTCAATTTTTGTACACAAATTTCTGTATAAGTAGGATTTTCTCACAGAACTATGTCTAGAGCTTCTGATTCTATTTAAAAAAAAAAAGATGAATGTCTGGGGTAAAGACTGCAATAAGACTTGGTGAAGACACAATTGTTTTATTTCACTTTTAACAAAAAGCCTGACCTATACAATTCTATGACAAGAAACCTGGTTTTTGAACACAGATTGTTTTTGTGGCCAGATGTATTTTTTTTATCTGATAATATTCTTTCACTGGTATTTTTTAACACTTAAAAAACTACAAGTTTGTCAGGTGTTATGAATGTACCTGCTGTATGTAGAAAATTGTTCAAATTCGAAGTTGTTATTAAGGGCTGTTCCAGAAAATACTATGTCCTTCCCCAGGGAAGGCAAGTTTTTTTAATTTTATGTGAGTGGTTGTATTTGAAATACAAAAATGCAAAGGTAGTGTAGTTATAATTTATTTTTATTTCTTTGGGTGGTGGGGGTTAAAAAAAAAGTGCCGTCCCTGGAGGGGGACATAGTATTTTCTGGAACAGCCCTAATTATATACAATATTTTTTTGAACAAATATCCTTAACTCTTTGTTTTTTGCACCAGATTCAAGATAACAAGTACACCATAGTGTAACACTACATAAAAATATCTCGGGGGACAGGGGAAATAGCTTGATTCTGGTCAGTTTACTTTTGAATTTACCCAAGTATTAAAATTACCAACTATTTAAGTATATATCCTGTTTCATGACAACTTACAAGAAAATTTAACAGATGTCAGAGTGGTTTTTGCTTTACTCAGATATAAAACATGAAGTTTCATTTACATCACAAAATTGAAGTTTTACCTGTATTGTCATAAATGTCCTGTTGTTTTCAATACTTTTTGATTAGGCTATAAGTAGAGAAGTAAAATTTGATTGTGTGCTTTTGTACAACAATAGGGAAAAACTTACCAGTATACTTTGTACCAATTGAATCTGGTGTTAAAAAAAAGAATTTTTTACCGAACAAGTCAAGATATGTGTATAACGCTTCCCTTTGTAAAATTCATCCAAGAAACACATTTCATATATCAACCTTTCCGTTACTCGAAATAAGCACAAAAAAACCTTCACAGTACTAAAATACAATTGGTGAAAAACAGGGTAAAAAAATTATACCATGAACAAACAAAAAAACTGAAGGAGAAATGCAGAAAATTGAGGATATTGCTGACAAGTTCAGACTGACTGCAGATATTGATCAGCATAAATATGTGGTCCATTGTATGATTGTAAATTAAATGCAGCATCACTTGCATCCATCGTCTCTGCATCACTTGCATCCATTGTTAACCAAGTGGAAGTTCAATGTTTTTTTTGAAACGACAACATCAGTGGTAATTTGAAAAAAAAGTCCGTTCCCATCACTTTTCATCTCTCAGGCTTTGGTGTTCACCTCATTACTTTATCGACAGAGTTTACAATTCCATGTTGAGATTAATTTTACAAACCATACAGAACCTGGCATTGTTCAAAGAAATTAAATTTTGTAATCATGGTTATATCAGGCATGTCAGGACAGCATGATTGCAAAACCATCATTTTCTTAAGATTAAAGATTAGTTTCTTCACCATATTCCAAATTGTTCAAAATACAATGTACCAATACAAAAATTGCATTGATATTTGTTAAAGGATAAAAAAGACAATTTCTATTAAGACATATTGCAAGTATTGCCCTATTATTGGAGGAAAAGAAACTATCAAGAGAACAAAAAAAAAACTGGGAACAAACATTTAATAGGTTTTAATAAATAAGAAAGTTCAAAGTTTAATAATGTTGGTGAATTGCTACTGCAGTTGATGAAAGGAAAGGAAAGCAACATTTAACATTGCTTCTGGTGCAAAAACATTCGTCAATATTTGTGATTAATTTTTCAAGTGGTGAAGATGGCCTTGCTGAACCACAGAAGATATTTTGGGAAATAAAGATAAACATTTAAATGGAGTGTTATCTATAATTTTTAGTTGTATGCTCCCATTCTTTTATGAAGCTTCACTTGGCAGCCATTTTGTCTTCATGGTTAATATGCAAATAGGTCTAAAACAGAGTATAAAAAATGTCCAAACAGTCCAATTGATTTTAGACAGATATTTAACTTGCCCATGATAGTTTCAATTTATGCTGGTTCATAAGTTAGTTGTTGGGTGAATTTATCTGGTGATGGATACATTTTTGGCGAAAAATGATGTGGAGACATTTCCTGAAACTTTTTAAGTTGCTTGATCTAAGTTATTACTTTGAATTGAGCTTTGAGATGGGATAGGATTCCGCCATCTACAGACAAATATGCCACTTTTAAATAAAAATATTTTGCACAGTAATATATTTATACAATTGAGGAGATGAAAAGTAATGAAAAATCTTTCCAGAGTATAAAAGAAGTGCATTGAACGAGACAAAAGTTGATTGTGAAAAGACATTGTTGTGCAATTCTGACTATGAACTAAACAAAATTATTGTCTGCAGGGTCTAGTCAGTTTCTTTTTGTTTAATTTTGTCCTTGCTACTAGTGTAACTATCGGAGCAACAACATGGCCCTATAGTTCTTGCTTTGTCTTTTCTGGACAATTGTTAAGTGTGATAGCACTCGAACATGAATTCGTATTGCAAACTGTTTTTTGCTCACCTGGCCAAAAGGGCCATTGTGAGCTTTTACTATCACTTGGCATCCATCGTCATGTGTTACCCTTTTCAAATATCATCTTAAGTTACTGGGTCAAATTAAAACAAAGTTGACCACAAATATTGGGTAATCTAGTTTAAAAAGTATTTGATGAACCCTGCCTGTCAACCAACATGTCATGGTTATAAATGGAATATTGGTGTAAAATGCAAGTATTGTTCTTTATCTTTAAAACTACTTTAGATGGAGAAAATCTGACATAAGCAGAAATGTTCACAATATTGAGATCTACCTACTTTAAAACTGTCCGACCTTATCTCGAGGGAATTATTGGCTTTAAATGTAGAATTTAAAACTTTTTGCTTATTATTTTGAAACTGGAATAGATCTGAGATAAACTTAAAAAGCAAAAATGATCAGCAAGACGAGATCTACAAATGAGTCAACAATGCAGAAATAGTCGAGACTCCTCATTGGAGTAATTGCCCTTTAATGATGAATTTTACCAACTAAGTGTTGCGTGTTTGCCTTATATCTTGGAAAACTATTAATAAATAGATAGAAACTTTGAAAGGCAAAAATTATCTGATACAAGATCTACTAATAAGAACAATATTGCGGAAATTGTCAGTTGACTTCTTATAAAAGAGTTATCCCCCTTGGTATTTTTTTTTTGCGTTTTTGCCAATTATTTGTAAGCATTTCAATTATTTTTTTGTAAATATTTCTATGGATATTTCACTGGAACATCTTGACACAAATACCAGCAGACCAATAACAGCAATAAGGTTGTTTATAATCTTAACCTTGGAAAATTAGAAATGAAGTAAATGTACACAAGACAACAATTTTTTGATAAAAACAACCGTATATTCGAATGAGTGCTTATGTTGCTGCTCAAAGTCCTACTTTTTACATGCTAGGAAGACTACAGCATTTTTTTTATCTTTGAATTAAGAGGAGTGTTGATGCTTTTAATCCAATTATCTGTTCATAATTGGTTAATAAACCTATTACCATGGCTGTTATTTTGATTGATTGTGTTAAAGAAATGTAGAAAAATAATTTGGGTGAAAAGCATTTTTGATAACTCCTTGGAAGACCACAGAAAATAACACATTTACCTGAGACCATTTAATGAATTTAACTTTGGACTTAGAACTTATTTGCCAGGGCACCTAAATCTACCTCAGAACAGTAATCACAATATTTGGCAGAGTAGTGCATCATATAGATCATTGTGACATTCACCAATAACTAAATGATTTAATTTTTGAATATTCTTAACAGCAGATATTCTGTATCTTTTGGTTGTGTTTTTCCTGTTGAAGGTCTGTGGTTCTCTCGTGGGAGCTTTTTACTACTAAGAGAGCTGAAAATGGCGTTAAACACAAACATTTGCTGTGAATTCTGAAATTATTGCGAGGTTTTTAGTGGCGGATCCAGAAATTTTCGTAAGGGGGTCTCACTTACTGCTTAAGAGAGGCCCCCTCCAGTCATGCTTCAGTGATTCCCTATATAATCAACCAAATTTTTCCCACAAAGGGGGGGGTTGGCTGGGCCCCCTGGAAAACCCCCTAAATCTGCCTCTGGTTTTTATTAATGCCAATAATTCAACTGGGTGAGTGTCACAATACGAATTTGTATTCTGATAGTTGAAACCCAGATCTGTATGCAAATTTTTTTGAAATCGCAAAAATTAAACTCATTTTTGTCCATTCTTGAAAAATCGCAATAATAAATGCACACAATGATTTCTGAATTTACAGTAACCTTTGTGAAAACTGAGCTAGTTTGGTATAAAAAACCAGGGTTACTGAACTAGTGTTTTGTGACCCTTCATGAACAATTGCACCTGACAAAGGTTCCTGTTTAGAAATTCTTAATTATTTCAATAAACTAAAACAAGATTTATCAGGATGTTACACAACAATTTCCTTGCCGTACATTTCTTGGTGGGGCCTTGGTGGCCAAAGGTCAAAGTAGTACTGTATCAAAAGCAACACTGAGGTTTTTAGTTCAAACTTGCACTGGCAATTGACTATGATTAGGGAGCTAGGATGAAAAAATTTGTCCTGCATATGTCTTTGTTGTAATCTCTATCCAGCCTTTTTATTTTTCACTCTATTCGGTCCTGCCTTTTTTTTTTTTAGTTTATCCTGACTTTTTTTTACATAAATTGTCATCCTGCCTTTTTTTTTTACTCAAAACTCCTGTCCTGCTTTTTTTTTCATCAAATTTCATCCTAGCCCCCCATTGAAATCAAATGCAGCTCCCTTACCAGTTTTCCTGCTGAAGATGGGTGGTTCTCTCAGTGTACCCTGGAATCCCCCACCAATAAAATGGCTGTCACAATGTGACCTACAGTGCTGAAAGTGGCTTTAAAGACCAACCAATTTTTCGCGAACTTTGATTTTTAGTTTTTCGAAGCTATCAATCAAATTAATTTTTTCAAAATTTAACACTATGAAGGTATGGGGAAAATCTGGATTCAGAATTTTTTTTTTGTCATCTGCTTGACCACAAAATTTTTTTTCATTAAATTGGGGATCAGAATATTTTTTTAGGTAAAAACCATAACCCCTCCTTGAAGACAAATGGTCATTCCCTTAGCAAAGAAAGAGGAACGATCCACGAATCCACATTTGAAAGTACAGGTACCTGCCACTGTTGAACCTTCTAGCATAATGAGAATCACCCCTCAAACCACCTAGTTGAATCACAACTGATATTGCTGAAAGTATTGAGCCTTGGTATATATCTATCACTGGTATTAAACAGCTTGTTTTGATTTAGTGATCTTAATCATTTTTGTCGAATTTAATCCAAATTTCAGAAATAATTATTTTTTTCGTAGGTAGTTTGGTCATGAAAATATTTAAAGGATATTGTTTCATTTAAAATTTTGAAAAATTGATACAAAGGTGTCCACAGAGGTTTGAGGTTGTACTCGTTCATTATTGAAAGGATATCGTATTGAAAATTTAGCATTTTGAATCTTGAATATATGGATTAAAAGAAATTTAGGCTTGGCATTTCTTAATTTCGAAATAACCTGGGTAAAGGAGCACTGGTATGTGAGCATTGATTTTACAACAAAATAGTTGAAGACACTGCAGTATATGGTACACATATATGAAATTGTCTTGTGTTCACCTTTAAAGTGTGGAAACAGGTTTTACCTGCAGGTAACATTGCAGTTAATTTTCCATATAATTTGATCCAAAAAAATAGGTAGATGAAAAGACTCGACAGTGTATGTTTAAAGTACGACAGACATGGAATCAACATTTTGCCAGTAGAAGGATGTATGCCTTGGATGTTAGGGTGAATAACATTGACCATGCATGGCCACTGACCGCACCGCCACCTAGTATGTCCAGTAGTATCCATGTCAATCCCAGGTTTCTTGCACAGGTAGGATTCTGTCACAAGTGGTGTCTACTCATCTCTCATTTTTATGTGGTTTTTCATCTACATCATTTTTTTTACTGAAGATTGTATTCGATCTAATTCTGATACATTTAGACCAATAGTCAATGATACAATTATGAAAGAAAAGGCTTAAATTTGAATGGATTTGCTAAATTTTGATTAAAAAAGATAACATTTTATCAGAAGTGTTTATTTACAAATGGGGAAGTAAGTCAATAATGACCTATAATTGACAAATTAATGCAGGATTTGATCATACTAATTGGTTTATAAAAACTATGGTTAACATAATAAGTAGATAGTTCCCCCATTTTGTATCAAGTATGTTGCAAAATCAATTTGATAAATAAGTTCTGTCTCCTTGGTTTGGTCCGTTACTGACAATTCATTAAAAGATTGAAGAAAATTTCGACAATTACTGGGGAATCGAATCCTTTCTGACAAGATTTTTCTTCAAAAAAAATAACATATTTTGGCTCATTTTTTTTTCATTCTGTCTACTTGGGCAAAAAATAGAGATCCAAAATCATTGACGGGTTTGATTTCAAAATCCAATTTGCATTGACCCATTTTATAAGTATCTTGATACATTTGTTTTGTAGAACTAACATAAATAACAAAACCTAGTATAAACCACAATGAAAAAATTGAAAGAGTGGCCAGCTCAGCTGCTCTTAAAAGTAGGTTATTCTTCATTAATTTAGGATTGCAAATCCCTTTGGCAAAGTTGACCTTGGATGGATTTGGCTGTTCAATTATGCCCTTTTGGTTTTCTACGTTTGCATATTTTTGGCTTTTCTAACTTGTCATGGAGCATATATATATGAGGGTATGAATGCCCTTTACCGTCAGGCGTCAAACGGTCATTTTCGGCTACTGTTTGTGTCAAATTGGTTAAAATTTTACCGTGATTCGTCAAGATATCCTTATCGTGATTTGTCAGCGGTCTCAAATAATTATCATTACCTTTATTTTTGGAAAAAAATTAACCTGGTTCGTCAAAATCTGTCGATTTTCTTATCGTCTTGAAGAAAGTCTTCATTTTATTGTCATGCACCAAAAATTACATTTAACGTCATTTGGCAAGATTTTTACCGTTAATCGTCATGAAGGTACCCCCATTTCCACCCTAATATATGATGTAAATTATTCCAGAAAAATACATGTATGATTTATAGCATATTGAAAGATGGTGCATGATTAATGTCTTCCTACAGTTACAAAAAAAATAGAAAATAAGGAGATGTGGTATGTGACACAAAAGACCAGGATGTAAGCAACTAAAGGTCATGGTATAGCCTTCAACAATGAGCAAAACCCATTCTGTATAGTAAAGCTATAAAAAGTCAATGACAAAATGTGAATCAATTTAAACAAGAAAACCAACAACTGGATTTATGCCTTAACTAAATACAATTCTGGCAGACAGCAACCATTGACTACAAATGAATTGCATGCTTTGGACTGGAACAAAAAGAATATGGCAGAATTAGAAATGTCTTTGAGGGGTCAACTCTGCCAGTTCCATGTTAAAAACCAGTTGTTGGAATAGGAAACCAAATTTTTGGGGAAAAACACTTTATCATAAACCCCCTCTTAGTATAAGTATCATAAAGTAAATGCACCTATATAAAAGTTAGATGTGGTGCCTGTGTGACTTCCAATGAGAAAACTATCCATCAGAGACCAAATGATTAACGTGTTAGCAACTTGAGGTCAGCATACAGTCTTCAACAATGACCAAAACCCATGTAAAAGGCCCTGACATGCCGAAATGTAGAAATGATTCGATTTACAAAATGATTTATGAACAAAACATATGAAAAAAAAAAAAAAAATTGTACAGCAACAAATGACAACCTCTGTATTCAGCATACAAGCATATAAAAAAATTGTACTTCATTGAACATTTAAATTTTTAGTTACGTAATTTTACAAATTTTGGTACCCTTCAAATAAAAATGAATCCATGTAGTATCCTTACTCTGATCATAAAAACCTAAACTAAAGATAAACATGATTTTGATGATCCCTTCAAATTGAAGTTAGTGACTCATTAGGTGCATCTATAGTCAGTTGAATCTAATGAGTCCGGCTGAAAAAAGAACTTGTCCCAGCACTAGTCTGTCATTATATTATTTTTTTTTTTATAGCAAAAAGAAGAGCAAGGTTTACCACTACCTGAGGAACCAGATGAAGATGATGAAGCTGAAATGAGACGACAACTGATTGCCAAGCAAGCAGAAATATTGAAATTACAACAGAAAAGACTAGAATTAGAACTGAAAGAAACTGAAGCACGCCTCAAATCTCAGGTAAAAATGGTATGTATGAATTTTTCAAAACTGAATCCATAATTGATTGTATAGGAACAAGTGTGCAGTCCTAAATTGGGCCTAATAAATTAATTTAATCCTTGTATCCTTCTCCCACAAAAATATCGTGCAATAGGAATGATAATTTTATTTTTGTATTATTATATCTTCTAAAATTTTCACATAAATGTTTCTCAAAAAACAGTGATAACTTTATTGATAAAATTTCTGCATTTTTCCTTAGAACAATTTTGGAGCAAGGAGACTGACAAGGAAATGTTTTTCAAAGAAACACTAACTTATATACTGTTATTTATAAATGTCTTTTTTTATTCATATTTTTTTGTTGTTTTATTTTAGCCTGACTCATCAGATTCAACTGACTTATTTGTTGGTGTAGAAGCACCTGCTGAGGCAACAACTTCAATTTCAAGGGATCCTCGAATACAAAGAGACCCTCGTCTTAGAGATCCAAGAGTATGCAGGGATCCAAGAATGAGGTCAAAGCCAGCACAGCCTGAACTTCTCCCAAGTAACGAGGAACAACCTCCATTGACCTTTTTTGGTCCCAGCACTAATCTGCCGTTGAATCAATTTGGCAGTCAAGAATCTGAGCCTCCAACATTGATGAGTGAATCCATTATGCCACCTCAAATTATACCTCAGCCACCCGTCGTATCGTCTGGTCAAGGAATGTTGCCATTTCCAATGCCTAGTGCGTTATTGCCACACCAAATGCAGACAGCGTCACCGTTTTTGTCTGAGTTTGGTAATCAGAATAATCAAGCAATACCAAACAGGAAACAGGAACCTATGGAACAAAGCACATTCAGTCCGAAAAAACAATTTAAACCAAAGCCAGATGTAGAATTAAAAAAAGAAAAAAATAGTCCAGAAAAAGTGCATTCTAGCCCAAAAGAATTAGAAAACCCAGTTAAATTGAAAGTTGAAAAAAGTCTAGGTGTATCACCAAGAAAAAAGAAATTAGATCCCAGAAAAGCTGCCAGTGAAACAAGAGCCAAAGAACCTAAGGAGCAAGAGGTCAAGAATTTGAAAGTGATGAGTAGTCATAGTCAGGAAAAAGTTAGAAGCACAAATAATGACGCTAAGCCCCGCCATGAAAATCATGACAAGGGCAGATCAAGAAACAAAGATAATCAGGATAAAGGGAAATCGCCAAATGACGAGGAAAAAGTTAAAAGTAAATCAAGCCCTAGTGAAACTCAACATAGCAAAAACAGGCGAACTAGGGGAGACTCAGAAAGTGACAATCGGAAATTAAGTGAAGAAAGAAATGGAAAAAGTGAAAGCAGAGAAAGAGAAAAAAGTTGGAAAGATACTCGAAGTAGAAGGAGTAAGTCCCCACGAAAGAGTAGAGAAAGGTCAAGGTCACCTGTCAAAGAGAATGGAAAAGGATCTAAAGTTCAGACACGTAGTAGTAAAAGTAGAAGTAAGACTGATTTAAAACACGACAACAAAAATCAGAACGAAGAACCCATGGAAGACGCACCTAAGATTGAACAAAGAAAACCCATATCAAGTTTGCCAAGGATACCTAAGCGTACTGGTGCAGATGTCGATGAAAGAAGAAAGGATAAAGATCAAGATGATCGTCGACTGTCAGGGTCCAATAAAAGGGATCTTGATGAAAGACAGGACTATAGAGATCGTGAATCTGGTCGAAACAGCAAAAAAGCAAGAATCAGTCAAGAAAGAGTTATTCCTGTCATGGAACCAGTTCACATTCATACCAAGTTGAATGAAGATTTAAGGTGAACAGATCATTTTATTATTATAGATGAGGTTCTGGATGGGGGGTCCTTAATTTCAATTTTCTTCAAATTTTTATGGCATCTTTCTGTATTTTTGAAAATAATGCTTATTCTGTGAAATGCTCCTGAAAATGATTTTACTTTTAAATTTTTCTGTAATTGGATGATTTCTTTATTCTGTACATCGTTCATTTCTGTAATCGGTAGTAGAATACCTAATTCTTTCATTTTCCATAATTATTATTTTTACTTTTGCACCCCATTATTCTCTATTCATAATTTATTTTTGCTAATTTTTCTCAATTCATTTTTTTATGGCCAGTATTATCTATTCTCCATCCAGACCCTCATAGATAATCTATAGTTCTGAAAACTAAGTTTCTCAGCTGCAATCTTTTTTAGGGTGACGGTCTTAAGATGAGATTTAGTTGAGAAACTTCCTCGAGATGAAAGACCATAATCTGTTTATTCCTAGACAACGCTGGCTTATGACGTCATAGTGTTCTCACACTCCTTGACTATGTATATAGCAATTAAATACCACTCTTATTCGAGTAACTTGAGATTGAAAATAACCTCACTGAAAGATCAAAGCAATATTTAAGAAATAAGCAATAATCATAGATAGCAGAATTGCTTGTAACATCAAGTAGATATTCACAATACATAAAATCAAATGTATGCTAAGACAAATTCAGTAAGCTTCAGAGTTGTGGTTCTTGATCATTAGGCAAATCAAAATGAACACCCACAAAAAACGCAAATGAAGAATTGTGTATGATTATCTTTTCAAGAGAGTTAAGCTTTCAGTAAATACAAAATAAAGAAAACTTGAATTGCAATTTTGAAGCTATAAAATATTTCATAATAAACATTCTTGTTTTGAATCACTGTCCCATCAAGAACCTCAAATAGTATAAAAAATAAGGAGATTTGGTATGATTTGGCAATGAGACAACTATCCATCAGAGTTCAAATGAAGTAGATGTAAGCAATTATAGGCAACACTTCAAACATTAGCAAAGATTCATAGTAAAATGTTTACTGTTTTCTTTATTTATAATTTCTTTTTTCAGTGCCTTATTTGGGAATGAAGACCAAGATTACAGACATGCTGATACAATTTCACCTAGAGGGGGTGGGCAGGTAGGATGGGCTAGATACAAGGCTGATCATCCACAGGACTTCGACAGTCGTAGATCAAGTATAGAGGACATTGATCACAGACGAGATCCACTTGATCAGAGACACCAAGCACCCAAGCTCCCAAGGGATACTGATTTCAGAACACCACCATTCAGTAGACCTCCAGTTCGAAGTCCTGGTTATAACGAACCAGTGCAAAGGATTGGACAGCCTCTCAGTTCTGAAGAGGATGTACCACAGGAATTGAGAATAGAAAATCGAGAACAAATATTAAGAAAAATGGAAATGAGAAGAAAGTCTGGAGAACTAAGTCACCATGAACTTCAAACAGTTTTAAGGAGTTTATCTGAATTTGATTCTCTGCAAGAACAAAAACGGCATCACCATCCAGGACATGAACCACCTCTTCTAGAACCTGAAGTTCATAGACGAGATGAAAGATTGCTGCCAACAAGACTAAACGAGCCTTTGATGGAGTATCACTCGCCAGGAAAAGCACCAATACCTCGACAAAATGAACTGTTGATGGAGTACAGTTCTCCTCGAAAAGATAGAAGTCACCAGCATGATGCAGATGTAAGAAGAGACCAGTTTAGAGGACCTGATAGACCAAAAGATGACAGAGGTCCAAGAGATGAACCAGCAAGACCTAGCTTACTTGGACCTGGACCTGGTCCCAGATTAAATAAAGAGCTGGATGTTACTGGATCTGAAAGAGACAGACCTATTCCTGGTCCAGACCCTGTAATGAATTTTGATGTTGACCACCGTAAGCCTGCTCAGCTGGAGAGAGGCCCACTTATAGATAGGAGACTACCTGATATTGAGGTAGGACTATCCCCAGTAGATAGACCCAAAGAGGAGAAACCAAGTCTCCTTGGCCCTGGACCTGCCATTTTAAAAGAGAAAGAATCACCCATTGCCCCTAAACTGGAGCCTGTCAAGCATGAGGTAGAGAAAAAAGAGAAAGTTTTTAAACCTTTAGAGAAGAAGGGAGATGGTGCTGGACTGGCTGTAGGTGCAATGTTGGAAATGTTGAGATCCGAAAATTCACCTGATAATTCGCAAGATGTGCCTATGCCTAAGCCTGTAGTTCCAGATGCTCTCAAGGGTCCGCCAAAAGATAACCGTGAACAAAAAACACAAAGGGGATCTCAGAAAGATGAAAGAAGATCAAAATCTCATAGAGAGCATGGCAGGAACGAAAGTCATAGAGATGAAAGACGCAGAGACAGGCCCAAAGACGACAGACGTAGAGATGCTAGAGAAGAAACTCGTAGGGATGCTGCAAGAGATGGAAGTCGTAAGGATATTTCAAGAGATGAAAATCGTAAAGATACACCCAGAGATGATATTCGTAGGGAACCTCCAAGAGATGAAAGAGTACCAAGACTAGTTCCTAAACCTATTTATGACCCTGACAGAGATGACAGGTGGATGATGCCAGGAGGGGTAAGGATAAAAGACGGTGTACTTAATATATTCCCTGATGGCACTGAAGAAATTGTTGTAAATGGTCAGCCACATCCATACAGAATGGGAGGTCCAAAGCGTATTATTCCTTTTAAAGGGGATCAGTTGGAAGCGTTCATGGAACCAACAAGGAGAATGCTACTCATAAATGGTACTTCTGTGTACAAAGTTGCGGACCCAGTGAAGGAAGTTCAGTGGGGTCCAGGTCCAAATCAGGGAGCTCAAATATTTTATCACGGAAATCCCAGGAATATGTGGCTTGATGGATTTTTGTACAATTTGCGCATAGATGCACCACCAAAAATAATCAGATTCCGGGATAAGGAACATACAGTTTTGATAGATGGGCGAGATGGAATGTTATTGATAGACAAAAAAGAATATGGAACCTATGGTGGGAAGCCAAGATTTGTTCGTTTGGATGATGAAAGGGTAGAAATGAGATTTACTCCTCCCCCTAAAAACATAGTCATCGATGGATTGCAATGTCAGATAAGACTTGATCGTAAAATTCCTTTTATTGTAATGGATGATGTAGCACGGGGTATACGATTTGATGGACCACCTAGAGATGTAATAATAAACGGGCAGAAGTTTTTAATTCCCACAGACAGGGCAGTTGAGGTCTGCATTGATGGAATATTTCATATGGTAGCGTTTGGAGGTCCCTCTCATGAAATTATTATCGATGGAAATTGGTACGAGTTACAGTTTAATGGACCCCCAAGAGAAATAACTGTAGGAAATCAAAGGCTCCTGGTTGGGCTGCCGTGTCCACCACCTGATGTGAAAATCTTGGACCCAATTGAGAATCAGAGCCTTAAAGAACCTGATGTTGATAAGAGTGGAAGCAAAAGAGACAAGAGACGTGGATCAGATGACAGGAACTCACCATCATTTGGCCAGAAGAAGCCTATATCCATATTAGATTTGGATATTGCAAAACCTCCAGGACTAAGGAATAAGGAAAGATTAAAAGGATCACCTCTGTATGATGAAAGGTCAAGAAGTCCAGATAGTCATAGAGACAGAGGAAGACGATCACCTCATCGGAGACGCAGTCCAGACAGAAGAGGAGGCTCTCCACAAATTAATGATCAGTTTAATGGACCCTCAATAATTCAAACTGGTCCACCTCAGCCTGGACCACCGTTTGTACCAGGTCAGCCATTTAATCAAGGAGGACCAAATCAGCCATTCCAGCCTAGACCCAATCAACCATTCCCACCAAATCAGCAGTTTCCAGGTCCAAATCAGCCTCAATTTCCAACAGGACCAAATATAAGATTCCCACCAGGTCCTAATCAACCACCATTTATGCCTGGTCCAAATCAGCCATTTCCATCTGGACCAAACCAGATATTTCCACCAGGTCAAAATCAGCAAATGCCAGGTCCCGGAGCTATGCAACCTTTTCAATTGGGCGCAAGGCCTATGATGCAAGATGAAGGTTCTCAGGGTCCACATCCAATGTTTCAACAAGGTCCTCAAGGCCAGCCATTACAGTCTATGCCTGGTATGCCACCAAATATGCCAGTGATGAGTCAGTCTATGCCTATGCCCGGTCAGTCAATGCCTATTCAAGGTCCACCAGTTTCAGTTGCAGGTCAGCCGTTGCCAGGGCAACCAATGATGCCACCAGGATCTGTTCCAATCAGTGTCATGAATCAGCCAATTAATCCAGGTTAGTCTTCAAATTTAAGGAATATGTATTTAATCTTAAAAACTATTATAAGGAAACAACAAAAACAAATATTGATAGAGGAAGGAAAATAAGGATGGTGAACATCAGGGCTATTCCATTTAAATATTTGAGGGCAGAAAGTGATTTTTTTTTATAGGCTTTGGGTCATGTTATGGCTGTTTATCTGTTTGATATGTAAAATAAAAAAGACATTTGTTTGTGGCCTTGTGGGGAGAAATTGTGAAAGTTTCTTCCTACCATCCGACATTCATTTTAATGGAATAGACAAAATCTTTAAAAAAATTGCAATGTGTGGATATCTATCAAAAGAATTCCACTCAAACCAGTTCTCTATTTAGACCAAATTGAACTTGCAGTGAGTAGTGTCTTTTTGTCCATTTTATTGATAATTTCATATGAAAAATCCAGAAACATCTTTTCTTGACAAAAATGCTTTGGTTTAAAATAACAAACACTCAGACATTTCTTTCAGTTTTAATAATGTGGATATACTATTTATTATGTATTTACTTATTGAAAAGACTTTATTTATGGCTTTAAGTTCTACTATTCTTTAAAAAAACAAATGCTCTGACATATCTTTGATGTACAAGTTATTATGTATTTACTTATAGAAAAAAGACGTCATTTATGAAGTGCTTTAAAAACTTATTAAAAAAAGTCAAATCATCCAACTCGTGTAGAACAAGAGGGTAGGAATGCCCTTTACCGTCAGGCATCAAATGGTCATTTTCGACTACCGTTAGCGTCAAAATGGTTAAAATTTTATCGTGATTCGTCAGAGTTCTCAAATAATTTACTGTTACAGTTATTTTTGGAAAGAATTTAACATGATTCGTCAAAATCAGTTGATTTTTTTTTATCGTCATAAAGAAAGTGTACATTTTATCGTCATGCACCAAAAATTACCGTTAACGTCATTTGGCAAGATTTTTTACCGTTATTCGTCATGAAGGTACCCCCATTACGACCCTCGTACAAATGTAGTTGTAATCATATCTTTTTTGGTTGGTTTATTTCAAGTTATGTTAATTAATTCTGGTTCACTATAAGTTCTTCTCTGTTTTAGGTATAATGAGTCAACCGCTTGGAGGACCACCAAATTTGATGCCTTCCCAACAGCCACCAAGTAAGTTTTATATATTAAAATTCATTGCCTCAAAGTTAATTTTTGATTGGTCGGGTTTAAAAAAAAATCTGATTGATACAATTCCTTAGTTGATTGATGCTTCATATACAGTGCATTTAAAAGTGTGAATTCAAAAGTCATCAGATATAGGATGGACATAATAAGTTTATATTTAGTGTGATGTCTATGCAAAATACATATATTAGCAAGTTCTTCTTATAACGATTTTCTGAAAAGTAAATGACATAAATGGTAATTTTCTATTAGAAAGTGAAAGAACATGTGCAATGTTGTTGTTCCTGATTGGTTTAGGTCATGATAAATGAATTTCTAGATTCTCATTAAAATTGGTGATGTAGATTTCCCAGATTCAATTTTGTTAAAATGATAAAAAAAAATAAAAAAACATGCAGGATTTACTGTATATAAGAATAAAGTTAGCAACTACATATTTTTGATAAACAAAAGTTATAAAATGTTTCTACATAAGATTATTTATACTTTAGCACTGCAACCTGAGCCATTGAATGTTGAGTCTTTACTGCAAAGACTTATCAAAGTCGGTCTAATTGCACAATCTGGGGAAAAGGCAAAAGAAAAGGAACAAGAAAAAGAAAAAGAAAAGGAGGAAAAGAAATCAGAGAGTGAATCGCCACAGAAAAAAGATGAGGAACCATCCGATGGGAAAGAAAAAAAGAAGCCAGTGGTAAGTGAATATAAAAATAAGATGCTGCATATATAAGAATAAGAAGATGTGGTTTGATTGCCAATGAGACAACTCCACCAGAGAACAAATGACGTAGAAGTTAACAACTATAGGTCACTGTACAGCCTTCAACAATGAGTAAAACCTTTATCTCACAGTAAGTTATAGACCCTGGTATGACAAAATTAAACAATACGAACAAGAAAACTTATGGCCTGATTTATGTACAAAACACTAAACGAAAAAGTCCATTTGTGACTAGTCTGTATTACTGTAAATGCAGAAATTTTTGTGATGTTTTTATTATTGTGAAAATTGAGACACAAAAGGTCTTTCAGAAATCAAATCTAGCATTTTAAATTTTGATAGCATTATTAGTCCCTTACCGACGAAGTAGAAGGTAGGTTTGCACTCCGTCTGTCTGTCATTCTGTCTGGCAAATCAGTTTTCCACACTTTTTTTCTTCGTGCTTGAAGATATTGATTTGACATTTGGTATATTGTTTTATCATTACAAGTTACAGATCAAGTTCGAATTTTGTTCCGGTCTGATGATTTCGTGCAGAGTTATGGTCCTTGGACTTAGAAAATTCACTCAATTATTCAGTTTTCCACATTTTTTTTCGTCATGCTTGAAGATATTGATTTTAAAATTGGCACATTGTTTTATCATGATAAGTTACAGATCAAGTTAGAATTTTGTTCCGGTCTGATGATTTTGTGCAGAGTTATGGTCCTTGGACTTAGAAAATTCACTGAAATATTCAGTTTTCTACACTTTTTTTCGTCATGCTTGAAGATATTGATTTGATAATTGGTATATAGTTTTATCATGACAAGTTACAGACGAAGTTCAAATTTTGTTCCAGTCTGATGATTTTGTGCAGAGTTATTGTCCTTGGACTTAGAAAATTCACTTAAATAATCAGTTTTCCACACTTTTTGTCATCATGCTTGAGGATATTGACTTGATATTCGTTATATAGTTTACACCATGACAAGTTATAGATCAAGTTAGCAAATTGTTCCAGTACAATTAATTTTTAACCGGTACGGGACTATGTATTGCCATGCAATACTCGCAGAATGCTTGTTTGTATGTGGCTTTTACTAGAAACACATTAAATAATCTTGCATTCTGGTCGATTCTTCAAAAATAGCAATAATAATTGTATGCATACACTTCTGAATTAACAGTATTTTCATGTCAGATGTTAAAGTTGTCATAAGCAGATTGGTCTGCAAAGTGTCCTTTTATATAATTGAAATTAACTATAAAAAGGTGGTTTGCAAGGTTGGGCGGTATTTACCACCCCCGGTATTTACCAGTGGTATTTACCGCCCCGGACAATACTCCCCAAGTGGTCAATACTGGCAAATACTGGTCAATTGAAATTTTCATGCTTCTTTTGACTGGCTTATCTATCAATTCTAGTAAAAAAATGGTTGATGAGGGAAAACTTTATTCCTTTGGCATGATTCAGTTTATAAAAATGAATGATATTGGGTTGTTATTAATTATTAAAACATTAAAAATGACTTATTTAGTTCTTAGGGGTAATTATATTGCATACTTTTGGTATACATATAAAATTGAGCAGCTATATCAGTTATTTTAACATGTATAAATCAAGATATTTTTTTCTTGAAAAGGTTTGAATTTTACAGGTAAATAGAATTAAAAGTGACTAGCAATATAGATTATCAGAGCATTACCTATTATATGGCTAACAGGTGTCAAAAGTTTAATTACTATAACAACTGTCCCCTAATAAATGTTGACATAACAGGAAAAAAGTCATAAAAGTGATTTCTAAAGATTGTTTTAAACAATGAATTAATTCCTGGCTATTCAACAGCATGATAAATTTGTTCTAAATGCAGGAAATGTTTTTTTTTAATAAATATATAACATATATATATATAAAACAATTTTTTTTAATTTTTTAATTGCATCTTTCAAAATAACTGTTAAGAAAACCAGATGTTATATAGTCTCTCTTAAGTGACTGACTTCATGGTGTTAATGACTATATCTGTTGTATGATTAAATTAATATTTGATAAATCTTCATTAAACCATGTTCATGAACTAATTAATTGTGACTTTTTGTCCTATTACAATGTAGTAAATAAGTGACTTTCTGCCTTGTGACTATATCTATCCATTTACCAAGTAATTGACCTGAGGTAGGGACTAGTTTTATAGTAAAGTCCTATCAAAATTTCAATTGACCAGTATTTGCCAGTATTGACCAGTATTTGCCAGTATTTCCCGGTATTTACCGGTATTTACCGCCGGCATGGTCAATACTAGTATTGACCGCTTTTTTGCCAACCTTGGTGGTTTGATGTTAAAGGTCATATAAGACAAACTTGGTTCAGATTTATATATATGGATAGTGAGCAATACTAGTTGTGGAACAATATTTATGAAGTAATGAATAATGTACAGTATCACAACATTTGCTTTATAAGTTTATAGTTTTAAAATTCTAGATATTACAAATTTGTGTTTTATGTAGGGTGTTTTCTTTGTCCATTTAGACAAGACAAGACAATTTATTACAACTTAGAGACACATAATAAGAGCATTATACAATTGGACATCAATAAAGAAAACATATAGATATAAGAAGATTTGGTATGAGTGCCAAGTCACAATTTGTAAAAGTAAACCATTATAGGTCAAAATACAGCCTTCAACATGGAGCCTTGGCTCACACCGAACAGCAAGCTTCATTTGAACTTTGGTGGAAAGTTGTCTCATTGGCAATCATACCACATCTCCTTATTTTTATATATATCTGATTCAGGCTTATTGGAAGTTATGTCTTAACCCTGGTCTCTTATTTAGTAGAAGAGTTGCAGTTAATGAAAAAGATCATTAGACATCTGAGTCCTGCCTGCAAAAAATCTGACAGTCTATTGACAATTAAACACAATAAGAAGTACATTAAAAAGGTTGCAACATCACACAGATAAGTGGTCAATTGATAATTTAATTTAAGTGGCTGTTTTTATGAGGAATTTACCACAATTTTCTTAAGGAAAAATTGATTTTACTCATTTATTGATTCTTTGTACACTATAACTTTATTTTCTGTTTTCAGAGACTTAAGCTTTCAAAACCTCAGAAGATTCCAGACTTAACAGAAATGAAAATAAATATTCTTAAAAAGTAAGTTTAATATCTATAATACAATTTATTCAAGGTTTCAAGTGCTTTGATCATGTATTTTTATATTTTTATGCCCCACCTACAATAGTAGTAGGGGCATTATGTTTTCTGGTCTGTGCGTCAGTTCATTCGTCCGTCCGTCTGCCTGTCCCACTTCAGGTTAAAGTTTTTGGTCAATGTAGTTTTTGATGAAGTTGAAGTCCAATCAACTTGAAACTTAGTACACAATATAGTCATGTTCCCTATGATATGATCTTTCTAATTTTAATCCCAAATTATAGTTTTGACCTCAATTTCACGGTCTACTGAACATAGAAAATGATAATGCGAGTCGGGCATCCATGTACTATGGACACATTCTTATTTTTCTTGTTAAACTTTAAACCATTTTATTGTTTCAAGTAAAGAAATGAATATTGACTAATGTGTCGCCGGAAAGCTAAATTTGCAGCTGACTTGATTTATAACATATTTTTTGTAAAAATCCTGTGTTGATGAATTAGGAAATTACTAAGAAACTAATCCGGCAAAGTTAACCTTAGCTGAACTTGGCTACTCTGGATTCTTTTATTTTCTTGGGTATCAATTTTTCATGGATTGAGTAAAAAAAAATTATTATTTTCGTGGATATGCCAAAGTCTTCGTTCTAGCCTATAGAAATTTTGCGCTTTGTTGAACATTTAAATTATTCATGTGCATGGTTTGCCTATTCCCACAAATCCATATGAATTGGTATCCCACGAATAATTATGGATCTACAGTATTCTTTTTAGGTACTTTTTGGTCATGTAGCTCCTAACATTGTTCTACATATTTATACATTCCTGGCTTTCAAATGTCTGGGTTTGAGCGGTCCTGATGAAGGTTTATCCCCAAAAAGGAATTTAGACACACAAAATTTATAAAGTGTTGTTTTCCTTGCAACAGTAAAAAAAAAATGATATCAGCTAGTATTAAAATGCAATGCAATGATTGGTTAACTTACAAATGTATGCTGTTCTTTTTCAGGCAATATATAGGTGTGATACAGAGGATGTACTCTGGTATCCAGTGTACGTCATGTGGTACACGATTCATGGCCTCACAGACAACACTGTACAGGGAACATTTAGACTGGCATTTCAGACAGAATCAGAGAGAAAAGAAGGGAGCTAAGATTTCAAGATACAGATCCTGGTTCTATGAATTGGATGTATGTTTTTAAAATTTTATTTTTAATTAATACACCAAAATAAATCCTCCTTCCCCCCCCCCCCCCCCCCCAAAAAAAAAACAAACAAAAAACACAAACAAAAATGATATTTTAGATATTTGAATATTGGACATGACAGCAATATGCCTTGTAGAGCACCAACAATTTTAAACTTGTTAATTGAAAAAAGCAAATATTGCTGAAACTAAATTCCTTATGAAAAAAGCTCAACTACAAAAAAAAGTTAATAGTTCAACTTTTGATAGATTTATACATATCTAAAGATAAGAAGGTGTTGTATGATTGCAGATGAGACAACTATTCACAAGAGACCAAATGATGTGGGACAGGTACATACAGAAATTGTGGGGGGGGGGGGGTAAACATGTATATGAGGGCTCAACCCTCCTCCTTTTACCTGAGACAGTGGTATTAACTATTGAAATTAATTGAAAAAGACACGTCAGATCTACACACACACAAAGCATCAAGAAAAATCGTCTAACGACAAAAGACACAAAAGTACCTATCTTAGAGAACTTGCAGTTACTTTTCTAGACTAAGATTTAGTCTGTTTGATCAGTCACTTCATCTAAAGGATGAAACTTTGTTTTTTTCTTCAAATCAAAAAGATTTCAAGTAGACCAGCTTATGTTGTTCGATTGCTGTCTCATTGACATATACTCCACATCCCCTTTTACTCATGATTTTTTACTTGTTTTACAGGATTGGTTAGAATATGAAGATGTTGGTGATTCAGAAGAGAGAGGTAGGATTTGTACTTATGAATATATAATAGGGATACTGCATTAAAACAAATTAAGAGCCAGTTACTGAGCATATACATATACATTACAGTCTCAAATGAAAAGAACTTTAAATTTGAAAATTTTACAGTAACTTAAAGTTACTGTGGTGTTTAAATGTAATGACAAATTTGCTATCACTTCAGTCATAATAAATTCTTAACTGTGATAAGTTTTGAAATGCAACCAAAATTTCCAGAAAATCCAGTTTAAGGACTGCTAATTGCTTTTAAACTTTAGAACATTGAAAAGATTAATAAAAGAGTGGCCTTAGTTAAATGGGCATAAATCCATATGAACGAAGCAGGCTCTTCATCATTGTAATTTGAAAGTGGATTATCAACAAATTAAAAGTATATATTAGGCAAAGTTGTTTTTGATCTTGAATTACCATCAAAATAAATGTATGATTATGTTTATATCAAGAAATTTGTCTTTAAAAAAAGTATGAAATAGATAAAAAATACAGATTTAAAAAAGTCAATTCTATGAATAGAAAAAAAGAATTGAGAGATTTATATTAAATACTCAAATCTATGAATTCTCAATTTGGTATCAATCTGTAACAAGCATGTATGATAATCTGTTACATTTATTTATTTTTCAGCACATTCAAGTTTGTTTGAGCAACTGGCAGCACAGGCACAAGAGACACCAGACAAAGAGTCTGCACTACCTCAGGGAGAAGACATTCTTCATTGTCCTGCAGCTACAGGGGAGGATTCTGCTGATGTAAGTCTGTTAATAAACTGCTAATCCTTCAGGATCATCTCCATTTCCCCTGGCTTTGTGTATTATAATTTGTATTCATTTTTTGCCATAGTGTTATCTGTCCTTTTTTTTTTTTTAAGTTTTTGGTTTTGGTTACCCCCATGGTATGTTCTCAACCAATATTTTCTTTTTTTTTAAAGTTTTTTTTGGGGGGGGGGGGGGGGGAGAAGGGGTTGTGGTTAATATAATACTGCCCTATTCTGTTTCAGTTAAGCGTTCAGCCTTTTAATGTTACAATAGTCGACCACCATTTTGTGAGGTGATACACAAGTTTATATATGTGATTTGATCACCTGTATATTACACGATCCAGTTTATGATTTTTCTTCAAAACACCTTTTGCAATAGTCACTTGTATTGGAAGAAATGTGGTTTGTCTTTTGTCCTCAGACATAATCTTAAAAAATGAAAATATATCGTCGTTGATATTCATTTGCTTATTATTTAAAGAACATTTCTCATTGATCCATTTTCTAAAAAAAAAACATATTTATTTTCATGTATATTTTAGGTCTGTGTTGTGTGTGGAGATGTTTTTGAACAGTTCTTTGATGAGGAATCTGAAGAATGGCATTTAAAGAATGCATTGCGATCTGCTGGCAAGGTAATTTAAAAAGTGTAGTTAAAAGAAACTAAGATATATTCCTACTATTGAATATTTATAATGACATTGGAAATGAGATAGCAGTTTAGGAAAATACTTGTTAACAATGGTAAAAAGTTACATCTATGACTTCTGTTGGCCTTTTTTATATGACCACAAAAAAATTTTTGGGATCGTATAATGGTATGATGTCGTCGTAGTCTGCGTCGTCGTCTGAAGACACATTGGTTTCCAGACAATAACTTTAGTTTAAGTGAATGGATCTCTATGAAATTTTTAAAGAAGGTTCAATACCACAAAATGAAGGTTTGGATTGATTTTGGGGATGATGGTCCCAACTGTTTAGGAATTAGGGGCCCAAAAAGGGGCCCAAAACAAGCATTTTTCTAGTTTCACGATAATAACTTGTGTATAAGTATTTAGATTGCTCTGAAATTGTACCACAATGTTTGATACCACAAGTAGAAGGTTGGGATTCGTTTTAGGGGTTATGGGGGCCAACAGTTTAGGAATTAAGGGCCAAAAATAAGCATTTTTCTAGTTTCCAGACAATAACTTGTGTGTAAGTGTATGGATCTCTCTGACATTGTACCACAAGGTTCCATATAACAAAGGGAAGGCTGGGATTGAGTTTGGGGTTAATTGCCCCAAACATGTAGGAATAAGGGGGCCAAAAACAAGCATTTTGTCTGGTTTCCAAACAATAACTTGTGTTTAAGTGTATGGATCTCTCTGAAATTGTACTACAAGGTTCTATACTACAAAGGAAAGGATGGGATTGAGTTTTGGGGTTATTGCTCCAAGGGGGGGTTTCAAAAAGTAGGGGGGGGGGGGGGACTTTTTTCCTAATTTTTTTAAGGGATTCATATTTTTTTTCAAAATTTTTAAAATTTCGAATTTTTGAAAAGTTTCAAGAAGAATCTTCAATTGCAGAGTATTGCGCAATGGATTTATAAGATCTTTGACCACATTTATTTTGTGTCAGAAACCTATATTATGTCAAAAATTTGATCAAAATCCAAACTCAGACAGTATCAAGCTTGAATATTGTGTCCAAATTTGACCCAACTGTTCAGGGTTTCACCTCTGCGGTCGTATCAGGCTGCGCTCAGCCAAGCATTTTATTTTATATATGAAAGATTTTCAGTATTATATGAAGATACATTAGGTATAAGGCCAAAGAGTATATTTCTATTTATTTCCTGCCTCTTAGGTTATTATTGAGGTTGAATAATTTTATTTTTGAAAAATATTTTATAGACTGAAGTAGAAAAATGTTCTTGGCTTGGAACAGTGGTCAGCCTAAAAAGTTTTGAACAGAGTTAACCAAAAATGTCAATAAAATGTGTTATGAAAGAAAAGGAACAGCTCTTTTATAATTTGCAGTTTTTCAAAAATAATTTTTATATATTTTATTTTTTAGACCTATCACCCGGTGTGTTATGAGGATGCTCAAGAAGTAAGTAAAACAATACAAATACTTGATTTATTTTATATAGGTGAAATATATAAAGCTTCAACCATGCAGTTTCATTTTGCTATTTTTTTGGCAACATCTGATACAGTTTAAAAAACACAATGCAGGTACATGTAGTACATAGAATAAAACGATTGAAAAGAGATTTCCAAAAATTCATATAAGTTTACTTTCTTGGATATTGATGGCATTGTGATGTTAACAAGAAAATGTTATTGTCCCTCAGGAAAATTTATACAATACTAATATTTTGGTAACAAAATAAAAAAAATGTGGTCACCATGAAAAAAAAAATATGAACATCACTAGTTTGAAAAAGTATAAATACAGATTTTGTAGTTTCCACCTGTCCATAGTGGACACAGAGAGATCAAATCTTCTAGAAAGTTGCCTCTGCGTATCCTTTAGATTGGAAATGCCTTTTCTTTTCTTTCATCATAAAAAAATGAACCTTGTACAGAAGAAAGTTGCCCACCCATGAGAGAAAGGAGAGAAAGACAAAATTAACATGAGCTGTTGTGTAGGCTAAGAATTAAAGCAATTGTAAATTAAACAGACTGGCTTAAATGTTTAGATAAAACATAAAAGTCGAAATCTAACAATTATTGCTCTTTTCAGAATTCTACCCCAAAAGAAGATCCTGGCGCTAATCCCATGATGTTACAAATACAGAAGGAACTTGGAATGATTCCTGCGGACACTGTTGTCTCATTTCCTTCAGCTAATGTGATCTCGGTCTCTCAACACGATCATACACCCAAAGATATTGTTCCTGATATGCCACCCGAAACGGAAGGTGATAGTACTGCCAAAGAGGAGACAGCTCCATCATGACCCGAGTTGAAAAAACAAAACTAGTCATTCCTAATCTGTGATTCTGTGTGTACTCTTTTATAGATATTGTGAAAATGTTGAAAAAGAGTTGATAAAGAGAGAATGGTTTGAAGTGCTTTCCAAGATTTGAAAGATGAAAATTCATTGCTAGGCAATTTATATGATTTCTTGGTGCATTCTATGAATTGATCAGGAAGTCACATTGCTAGTGAACTTGGAAACAGAAACTACAATGCAATAATAGGTCAAGAAAGATCACTTGACTTACTAGCTGGTTCTTCGAATGGATCAGGTAGTCATATATGGTAGACAGTTTAGACTTTAGGGATACAGTTTTAAACTGGATGGGATTAGCTCTAATGCAAAGAATTTAAGTGTATAGTGGACGTAGCCGGACATTGCAGTAACTATTTAAGTGATGACAACTAGACTTTATTGGTCCGTTTATAATGTAATGGTCATAGTATGATGATCTACTCTCAGCTCAAAATGTTGTACATGATATTTTTCATTTTGTTTATAACAAATTTTTGTTTTGAAAGCATTGACTGTTAACATTTTTCTTTTTGAGGTCAGTTTCTGTTGATTTTGTAAACAATAATTATTTGTGAAAATTGTGTCACAAACTTGTTATAATATTATACTGGTAATTCATGTAAATGGCTATGTAAGAGGTTTATTGTGACATTCATTTATCTTGATTGTTTAAAATGTTTAGAAAACAAAAGTTACAAAAAAATGTAAAAATATGAAAAAAAGGTGTATTCTGAAGATGGGATGCTTTTGGCTATTTGATTTTTAGTCAGTTTAAATACATTCTTTTCATTGCACCATTTTCATGATCATTTAATTTCCTAAACATGATAAAGATTCAGTATATTTTGTGGTTTTGAAGTCGTTTTCCTGGAATGTGATAAAAATTGTCCTTTATGTTGAAAAGTAAAAGCACAAATGTGGCACATGTAGTTGCACATTATGGCGAGGGTCACAAGAATGAGAGAGGCAATTAGAAAAAAGTGTAAGGAACACATACAAGAAAAAGGATATAGGCATTTACATTCATTTCTCATTGTCATTCCGCAATTAAGTGCTATGAATTAATTTATTTGTATAAAGTTTTGATTTGTAAATTATTTTTGTTGAAGCATAAGTTCAGAAAATATTTCAGAGCTATTCCTGGAGCATGTTTACCATGGGAAAAAAAATTGCAAACCTCTTTCTAGTGCTCTCATTATGAATTTAAAATTATTGTATCAAGTTAAGATTCAGTCAGATTGTATAGCCATCTGTATCGATTTTAAATCTGTTTTAAAAGTTCCAAATACAGTATATCTATGAGAGCTATAGAATAGTTACGATGAGAAGTGTGTGAATTGGGCATTCTTACTAAAAAAAAAATATATTGATGTCTGTTTTCTGCCTCAAGTCATAAAAAATAGGGGTGTTTGGTTGGATACTTTCCTGTTTAATGTTGACAAAATCCATAAAAAAGTACATGTTTTCTGAGTCTGAATCAGATTTACACAAAGACTGAGTAATTCATATGCATTTATGCATGAAGGTACTTTTTCAATGTTCTGAGAACTTTTTTCACTCATTTGGTTTATCTTATTATTTTATAGCAAAAATAGAATTAGTAGTTTACTCCAAAGTTGTAAATCTCTATTTCTTAAATAATTTTTTGGAAAGGCAATAACTTTACAGGAAGGTGAAAAAATTTACCGTTGGTTTGGGAGACAGAAAACAGACAAGTTTGTTTTTTTGTTTTTTTGTTTTTTTGCCTGACAGGAAGTGCATGAATTGGGCATTCTTACCCAATACTTAAACGGTAGCAGTATTATGTAGGGTTATTTTTAGACATTATGCATTGTTGCAACACTTATATGGTATGATTACAGATTATAAAGATTAAATTCTTGTGATAACGCCTTTTTGTTGGAAGCGATTTTGCTTTGATCGTTATACATGTTATATTGAGTTTGTTGGAAAACAGTCTCAGAATTTAGAACTTTCATTACCGAAAAATCATTTGTTTATCAAGTTCAAAATAAAATCATTCATTTATCAAGTTCAAAATAAAATCAATCATTCATTTATTAAGTTCAAAATAAAATCATTCATTTGAAAATTTTGTGTTGCATTATTTGTAAAGGGGTATTTGGAAAGTATTTACTAGTATTTGTTTTTTAAATTTATAAATTGATAAATTCAAGTAAAGTAAAGTTAACTCAACATTTCTGACAAAGAGAGAAAAAAATACTAATATTGAAAATTTTTATAATAAAATTATATTTGATTATAAAGAATAATTTCTGTGTCAAGGTAGAATCAGCATTGTTTTGGTATGAATTAAGTAGACTTACATTTAAAAGTATTTGGTATAACAACGTGCAATAATGTAAGTATGGAAGTAGTTATTTGAAGAGTTGATTTTTTACTTTATTTTTATACATGTACTTGCAGTTGAAAACTCATTTTAATCAGACATTAGTAGTTGTCACAATATTTCATTTTCACAAATTCAGAGTTTATTTTTTCATGTATTTTTTTTCCATTGTATGAAACTGACTGTGAATGTAGGGTGAATGTGAATTATTTTAGATACTTAATGTTTTTGTTTTACACTGAATGCTTTAAATAATTCGGCAAAGATATTTGGTTGAAAAATCTATTATTTATTATCAGAGGAAATTTATTTTTATATATACTTAGCCAGCACTAATTTGATTTGAGTTCTTTATATTTTCTGGTGTAATTTTTTTATTATTTTTCCCCCGAAAAAATATATTTAGACAAATAGTAGATAAATAACTTAATTCAACACTATGATTATGATTGATAGAAATAATTTTTGAAAAAAAACTTAAAATTTTTTATGATATGAAAATTATTGTTGATAATATCTTTATAGAATTTTGAGATTTATTCAGTATAAAGAAAAAAACTAGGTATTAAGAGTAAATTGTTGTTTTAAATGATGAGTTCGAAAGTGTCAGTTATTTTATTGTTGTGTTGATTGAAAGAGAGAATATTTGCTGTGAATGAAAAGTAGATTATGTCTGTATGTTGGTATATTTTTTACTATCTTATCCTTCACAGGAGGCAATAAAAGGATATAAAGTTGATAAATGTGTTTGTTCCTTTGATTATTGATACCCCCCCCTGTGCTGGTATCATCCTTAAAAGTTCATCCATATCAGCTGTTCATCACTTTGACCTGACCTAAATTACTTTGACCAGAACTTATCATTGGTGTCATGATGTTTCACCAGAACTAATTTAGTTTTTTCGGTTAGTTGGTAAGAAAAAACAACAAACTTGAAAGAAAAAACAATATTTTTATCAAAGGGCAATGTTACCTTTTGCCATCACTTAGTGGCCGTCGTTGTACTCTTAAAAAAAACCTTCTCTATAACTAATAACCCAAATGTTATTGAACTTTACCTAATTGTTCCCTACGCATTTTAGTTTATAAATGGTATCCTATGATCATCAGGAAAACTGACAATCATCAGCAGGTATTTACAATCAGACAATCTAATTTTGAGGGATTGCCCTTGAAATATCCTTTTTAGCAAATTTCACGTTTTTTTTTTTTTTTTTTTTTTTTTGTGCCCGCCGTGGCGGAGGAGGCATTAAGTATTATACTTGTCAGTCTATTCTTTAACTTTTCACCGTTCTTGAGTTGTGTCCCTTTATAAATGGAAAAATTGCAAAATTTTGTCATTTCTACACTCTAACTTTAGTGTGCCTCAACCAAATATTATAAAAATCAGACAATGCTTATTAACACCAAACACAGATTAAGTTTGAATTTTTGTGGCGTCACTTTTGCTGTTCTTTAGTTGTGTCCCTTTGTAAATTGAAAATTGCAGAGTGTGATGTGTATTTCAAGCGAGGGCATCTGTATCCGAAGGACACATTAATTCTTCATTTATTTTTAAAATATTATTGATATTCAACCATGGCTGAAAGTGTCAACTGACAGTTCATAGGAGTTATTGTCCTTGAAAGACGATTCTACCTTTTTTTTTTTGATAAACAATAATAGATAGAGAGAAAATGTATAAACCAAAAATTTTCAGCAAAATAAGATGTACAAATATATAAACATGGCGGAAATGGTGAATTGACCCCTGAGAGGAATTATGAGTTTTACCCATTTTTTGCAGAAAATATAATATATATAGAGGGAAACTGTAAATAGCAAAAATGATCAGCACAATAGTATCTATAAAAAAGTCAAGATGGCGGAAATAGGCAACGGACATGATTTTTACCCATTTTTTACATTCTTGTTGAAAACTATAGACGTTAGAGAGAAACTTTAAAAAAGCAAAATAAGATCTTAATGTAAGTCAACATGGCCCAAATCAACAACCAACTCCTGACCAATCTGATTAAAATTTAGACCCATATTAACTCCCTCGCTCGTACATAAAAGGATAACGAAATCAGAGGTCTATATTATCATTAGATTGACTCCTGACATAACTCTTAACTTCAAACACATACCAAAGACCATTGGAGCTTCTTTCACAACCTATTCTCTATCATTTGTTGTCAAATAGGAAACATAAAAAAGTCTTCTCTAAAACCAACGAACCTGGTAGGGTAAAACTTATCCCAGGTTATCCAAAGAGATTTACTTGAAAAGTGGCAACTTATTTCCAAACCAACCAACAAGTATGGCGTTCACGACTTACAATAGATGTAGGAGTCTTAACAAAGAGACATGTTCGGGGAAAACTTCTTTAAATCTAATTACTGTGGATTCATTATTTTTCGTGGGTAAAGGTGAACCACGAACTAAAATTTTCAACGAAGTACAAATTTTCTTTAGGCTTGAATGCAGACTATGGCAAAACTATGAAATGAAATATCCATGAAAATACAACTTTTTCTCAATTCATGAAAATTGGTACTCACTAAAAAAATAAATGAATCCACAGTATATTGGTTAATACATTTTTGTTATGCATTAAGGTAACCTGATTTCTTTTTATAGCAGTCTGAAAATCAAGATGGCTACCTTTACAAAAGACAGATGAACAAAGGACAACAGACAACATATACAGAAAACATATGCATACAGATTCTATTTGAAAACTCTCATATTATGCAAAAATTTTATTCACTGAAACCTTTTAGCCAATTGAACAAAACTTGGCACAAATATAATAGATTATATTTGAAATGATTATAAAAATCCATAATTTGCATAGACTAGCTACAGAACATTCAATTCTCTGGTTTTCATATTGGCAAAAATCATGTGTCAACAAAAAAATCATATTTCATTAAACAAGAAAAAAATAGTAATAAAAAAAAAATTGAAAAAAATGTTTTCTTCATTTCCTCTCTCCACACCACAGCCAGGGATCACATGTCTACCTTCTTATGCTCGTAACAATACTAGCTTCTTTTTACAAGCCTAAAATAAGAAAGGGTTGCCTTAAACATTCATATAATATACATTTCTCTTTTGAATTAACAGATCGTGAGTTTATTGTAAATTTAAGATGTTTTGTAAACATATAACTTCTGACGTCATCTATTGTTATCTATATATGTATTTTTTATATTGTTTATGATAAGCCATATGTATATATTGTATTTGAATATACTGATGAGCCTTATTGTTTCTAGTGAATAAAGAATTTAAATTTGAAATGACTTTTTAACAATACTGACACCGGCGCGGATCCAGCCATTTTGGAAAGGGGGGTGGGGAGAGAGGGGGTCCAACTCGGGAATATGTTGAAACGTACATAAGTAAAAAGAAATATAAAAGGTTTTTTTTTAATCGCGAAAAAAAGGGGAGTTGAAGCAATACATAATCACTGCATTAAGCGAGTGGAAAGCGTACATACCTTCCCTTCGATTTGAAAATATATCATTGTTAGTATAACATTGTTCAAATTTTTTCGCCTCGATTGTGTCGACTGTATATATTCCATTCTCAGGAACTATGCCACCTTTCAAACATCCAGGATCCCGGCGACCCTGGGAATTATAGCAAGATCTCAATATTAAGACTTTTATTGAGCTTCCGTTGAGCCGAGTAATATTACCTTCAGCAATCAGCAATCTGTCAACATCATCTTCAGCTTGATCCAACAAATACTTATTGTATCCCATTACAGACCTGACTGATTTCAACTCACTCTCTGTAAAATGAAATTTGACAAATTTTGTACTAAGTCTTATTTTTTTTGTATGAAAAATTTCACAACGGTATAAAATGAAACTTCATCGCAATGAACATAAGGATATGTGATATGGTTGTCAATGAGACAATTATGCACCATACACCAAATGACGTCAGTGAATGTCAGCAAAGTACAGACAACCATACGACCTTCAACAAGGAGCAAATCCGATACTGAATAGTCAGCCCGACATAACAAAATGATAAAAAAAAGCAAACAGCTTGATTTATGTACAAAACAACAAACGAAAAAACAAATATGATAAAGAGCAATCAACGACATCCACTAAAATACATAATGGAGCGGGGTTTAACATGCTTGCAGGCGACAAACACTCCCCTAATATGGGACAGAACAGCATACCATAAAAACACATTTTAAGCAAACAAAGTGCTATTTACATCAGATTTCAGGATTTTTTTTCTTTCCAAGGTAACCTGCAGAACAGGTAATCCCTAGATCGATCGATCAATCCATCAATCAATCAATCCAGTAATTACCAATTAAATCACAATCAATCATTTTGTGATTTAAAATTTTAAATTCTTACCTATAAACATTTTAAGCTTTTTAAGCTCAGCATGGATTTTAGCTTCTTCAACATTAGCCAACATCTTGCTCAATGAAATTTCATTATAAGGAGTTGCCTGTTGCTTCCAATCTTTCTTAAAACGAGAAAATTGGGAAGACAACTCATTAATCTCCACCATCTGTTGATCCACGTCTTTAACAAGTTTTCCACAAGATCTGGCAAGCCTTCGTAGTGGCATCTCAATTATAGAGTTCTTACTTCGACAATCTAAATATAAATATTACTTTAACCACATGTATCAAGTTGTTTGTTTGTATTTACACTGTTCTTAAAAATACTATTGAAAGTGTATTCAGATTACGAATTATGTGTTTGTTCGTTTTCCACCTTACACCTATTTTCTGGTATAAAATTCATAAAGTATCTACAGATAATCAGGCCTGATTTTCATCACCTATCAACCAATTTATCGTGCTTTGAATACGTTTTACAACTATTTTCTGGAGTAAAAAAGAGTAATTACAGATGTATTAAACTGCATGTCTATAGCGTCTATCACCTATCAATCAATTAATCGAAGACTAGTATATAAATATTCTTTCACACAGAGATCAAGTCGGCAAGTGAAAAACATATGCTGATGTAGCGGTGTATGGGACTTTCAACAGTGTTTTTAAGCTTGATGTTTCTTACCGGTTATTATAGAAAATAATCTAACTACGCCGATCCTTAAAAAAGGCTATGTTTAAATGTAGTCTTACCTTCAAGATATGGTTGTAAGCCAGAAATAACTTTATCATTCTGAATACATGTCACTTTCATAATTGCCAGTTCTACAAAATAATTTAAACCGAACACATAATATACGTTTCTGACTAACGGCTTGTAAACATTTTAGATCTGTACATTTACATGTAGTGTCTTTTTTCTAACATACTGTTGTTGTTGATTTTCTGTCACATTGACGTCTGTCTCTTATTTAAACTTGTGGTAGCATCATGCGCCAGGGTCTGCATGGAAAGGGGGGTGGGGGTTCATTTCTTTATTATTTAATTTTTAGACCATTTTCTCTATTCTTTACTATTTTTACCCTTTGTTCTGCACTCTTTGTCCATCATTCTCTATTCAGACCCTTGTTCATGATCAACGAAGGGGTAGCGATGCTTCACTTCTAGTTTTTCAGCCGTCCTCTAATTCTAAACACGTCAAGTACCGCTTAATCCCAGTTAGTAAAACATGGTGCAATGATCATTAAAAAAAGTCGTGGTTTCCCGTTACACTAGATACATAAGTATTTCAACAATAAATGAAATAAGAAAAATTCATCTGACTTACTTTAGTCAGAGTATACATGAATACGTATACTAAAATATTACTTCTTAAATGATTTAAATGCTGAATGTTAATATAACTAACCTTTTATTAGCCTTCTATTCAGTTGACGGCGTTTGCGGACAAGATAACACATCATAAAGCATATAAAAACCAAAGCGACATCTATAGGATCAATATTTTCCTAAAAAGTAAAAAAATAAACAACCTAAAAATCATGCTAAAATCATGACTGAAGGCCAATTAGGGGGGGGGGGGGAGGGCTGCATACATTTGCTTTCTGACTTATTTCTATACTTTGTGTTTTCTTTTATCGTTAGCTTTCTTTCTGGTTGATTCATAGACGCGAAAAGGTCAGGCCTCAATGTGACTTTGAGATGAAGAACAGCAATTAAATACTGTTCCTTTGATTTTGGTTTAGACAATTGCTTTATGTTATTTTATTCTTTTTATTCCATACTATTAGTTATCTGAAGTTAACACGTTTCTTCGTAATTACCACTAGACATTAAGAAGCAACAATCAATCAATCATAATTACCTCAATATATCTTACGACATCATTACCAGTACTAAGCAATCCATCGACTTCCAGGAATTTCGATCTGAAAAAAAAAGAAAAGAAAACGAAATTAAAAAAAAAATGATAATAATAAAACCGTCCGTTTTTATAAACCAAAACTTTCAACAAAAAGAATCAAATTTCAAAAGAATTTTTTTATCTTACCACAAGCGGTATAAAAATCCCACTGAAAGAACATCATTCGATTTAACTGTTAAAACTAAATAAGAATTGTTTTGCATCGGCTTAAGATAAAACATCTTTAAAAAAAAAATAGAAACCCAACGACTCATTCAAACAAGTTGTAAAAGTTAAAATGTTGTTGTTTGTGATCTGTATTTAGATGAATAACATTCAGTGGTAGTTTTATTCTACTTGTATTTTAATGAAGATGTAAGTAAGAAAAACATATTGTTCTTTTAGTTAGATGATATCGAACTGACTCGGTGGTCTCGTGGTAGTGTGTTCACCTCTAATGCCGGAGGTCGTGAAATTTTATCCTTTGATATGTTGAACTTTTACATAATAATAATAATAATAATAATAATAATAATAATAATAAAGATAATAATAATAATAATAATATAATAATTATTATTGTAATTATTATGAAAATAATAAATACATAAATACATGAAATAAATATTCAAGAACTCAACTATGATTTGGTTTCTTTGTTTATATTTTTCAACACAAACCGCTACAATTATTGTAGTAGTTAGAAGCGAAAATATGCAATTTATTGTCAATAATTTATCCACCAAGAATTCGATAAAAGTATAAAATGAATTTATATCTACATACCTGAGCAATGGATCTTTACGGACGGTTGTCGCTTGGAGGAGAAAACATACCAAGATTATTGAAAAACGCATCTTTTTTTCCTTGTTCGTATATTACGTCTTCAGTCGATATAGAATCTCCCGAAAATCTCAGACGTTGTCAAAAGTAACGTGACACGTCATAAAGACGGACGAAGGTAACGCCATCTATCAAATAAGATACGACGTTCTCATACACATGTACATTGATATTCAGAAATAAGTTTTGGTGAGGTATTTTGATGATTGTACCAGAACCTATCGTCCAAATTTAAAATGAAGCGATTATTTCAAATAAATTGGTTGATTGATTATTGATTAAACTGAACGAGAAACTGCATACTATGTATACTATGTTTAATTTATACCTTAACACAGATAAAACAGATAGAATACGGGCGACAGTTTTACTATATATTAACCTTAATAAAAGAAGTGATTTATTGTTTTAAAGTTTTAAAGCCATTGTCTCTATTTGCTGTAAAATATAATTTTCAATTAATGCTGGAGGCGGATCGAGCCGTAGGAATTGATTTTAGATAAAAGAAATTATTGATTTTTGTGTATATGAATAACTTTATCAATAAAAAAGTAGAAAGAACGCATAAAGAAAATATAAAATATAAAAGATGGCTCATGGAAAACTGAATTGAGACTTAAAGAATGTGGAAAGGCCAATTTCTCCTGTATTGTTTCACTCACAGAGTCAAACTCTAAAAGTTATAACATCCTACTTAAATTTGAATACTTAAGAATCTATATCATATATTTAAGAAATGTTCAAACAGTTTTCAAAATCTTTCATTGAAATCAAAATGGTATCTGGTCTAACATGTTGCTATTAAAGTCATTTTGATACACAATTACGGACTCTATATGGTTTTGCTTCGGAAGACCCCACAAACCAAAATACATTAATAATGCGAATCAGAAAGACAATATACATCATTACAAACAAATTTTGGTTCAGATAAAAATGTCCTTATGAAAATCCCAAAACTGCCATATTCTGTCAAACTTGTGGTTTTGTAAGGAAGTAAGGAAGCGTAGTTGCGCCAAATGCACTTTTTTTTAAATAGTTGCGTTAATTTGCAAACATTTTGCGTAATTTCGCAAACTTTGCGTTTTTTCGAAAACTTTTTCATACTGTCTATAATTAAAATGGAAGCAAATGTTATAATTCGGTTAGTTATTATATTGTGAAAAGCTATCAATTTTATTTATTCTTTACATTAAATGCAAGTTGAAATTCTGACGTCTTTAGTACATGATCACGGCATAATATTCAGAAAGGTAACAATACAAAAAAGTTGAGAAAACTGAAGTGTCGCCGGAGCGTTTACAAATTCAATACTGTTGAAATAGCAAAATTTATACAAGCTTCTGATAAGTTGATGCTTTAAAAATTTCCTGATTAAGGTTTTATCGTTGATCAAGAAACTGTTCGCAATATTGCATTAATTATAGACCTTTATAGTGCTAACCAACGCAAACGAAGAAGATTGAATTGTAGAATGAACTTTAATACTGGACTTAATAATACATAAGTGCTTTTTCTGTACTGTTTTTTTTTTAATTTTCTTTCGTGTACGTGCTTTATCGAGATTTAATGAGGAAGATGATTCAGATATTAAAAAAAATGGTTTGAACTCGCAACATTTTCATATGCCTGTCCCAATTTAGGAACAGCGTCAATTGTTGTCGCGTGTAATATCTGCTTATTTTTTGTTTGTTTTTGGAGGACCAGGTTATAGGCAAATCTTTGATTATTTCTGACATATTTATTCACTACTTTTATAGTCTCTTGACGATTTAGAGCTTGATATATTGTATCTCACACACCGGACTATTGTTGAAGATAAGATGTCGTTTGATTATTTTTGTTGTTTGGTTTCTGTCTCAGTAACGTATACCACACACCTCCCTTTTCTTATATTTATAACGAAGTTTGTCCTTTGCGCTGTGTGCATGGATACGACAGAATGTATCCCCTTATCATGACGCACGACTAACACAATTATAAGACATGGTATCGGGCGTTGTTTATTTTATTACAGTTAGTAGTGGTGTTACGTCCCTCTATAAAACAACACGGCGTTGAGGAAAACCCTGAAATGTTTCGCCTGGACAACAGATGAAGAAATTGATGATGAACGATTGAAAATAAATGCAGAAAACACATTCAAAGCTAACAGGTTGTTATTGTTGGCATTTGTTTTTTGTATTGACCAAATGATCACTTTGATAGTCCACTATATAGTAAATAAATAAGGTTAAAATGAATGGATGGACAGTTATCGAATGTAATTTCTTGGTCAAATACATTAAATGATAGCGGTAAAAAAGTTGTAATGTTTTTTAGGCGGACAGGACCCCTTGAGCCAGACTATATATAGTCTAAATGTCACATTTGAACATAGTCGGTAAGATAAATTCGTTACACAGGGTGCTAGTTCGAGCTTTGCTCTCACCGCATATGGAATTTACTGACCCAATATATATAGTACTAGGTCACTTAGTCTAGCACACTATGTAACTAAAAATATCAGTTTAAGAGATGTTGTGGAAACCAGATATGTTATGGAGTAACGTGCAAACTAACAGATAAACGGACTAACTAACAAACAAATGCATGACGTACATCATGAACACTACATATGCGCCACTGTCGCTTACGAGGATACAAATGTTTTAAAAAAATAGACCCATCTCTCCCAGAAGTCTGAGTCTCTGACAACCTCTTTAAGCTGGGAGGAATCAGTTGTATACGGAAACTAAAATCCGATAAAGGCGACACTTGTTCAGCCAGACATAACCAGATAACCCGTTTAATAATGAGTGGTGAAAACTAGAAATTATAACAACGCAAAATGTTTGCTAAATAACGCAAAACATTTGTTAAATAACGCAAGGTTTGCGAAATAATGCAAAATACTTGCGATCTAAAGCAAAATGTTTGCAACATAACGTAAAAGTTTGCGAAAACGAAGAGATTGAAAAAATCTCACGTGGCGCAAAAGTAGTCATTTGGTCATCTGTTTAGTATAGCAATACTTTTGTAATAACCACAAAGTACACACAAGATATAAGCAAATAAAGAAAGACTTTTGAAATTGATCCTATTATAAAATAAATTCGGAGGAAATTCGCTCTTCATCTTTGATTTTAAAGTCAAACCAACCTTTAATATAAAACTAACAGGTGTCTATAGTTAATGTCAAGCTCTATTACAATATAACTGTTCCGAGTATTTAAATGTAGATTTTAGTTCTTAACAGACGTTACGATATTTAAGCATGATAGTTATAGTTACATATGAATTTTTACAAAAAAAGACACAATATTCAACTCTTTGTTTACAGAATTTTAGCCCAGGTCAGTTCATTATAGTGTAGAAGTTAACCAAATGTCATCATCAGTGTTGTATATTTGACCAAAAATGCACAAAAAGATCGAAGTCAGAAATACTTTCTTTCTGTCGAGTGTTTGAGGTCAGGCTTGCCCTTCGTTCCATTTTTCAAAGTGCAGCAAACCGAGTTGTGTTTCCGCTAGACTCTGAATTTTGAGTATCACAAATAGTCAATAAATGTATATATTTTCTATATACTAGTATAATAGTGTAAGGAAGCTGATTCGCTGACTTTTACTCAATATCTCCTCATTTACAATGATAAAATTGTGTTATTATATAGGAAAACATTACAAATATAGAATAATCAGATGTATAACCACTCCTTCTTTTTAATTTTTTATCTATAGTTCCTGTATCCAATACAGATTAATCTTAGCACCGAAAGAGGCTTCTGTGAATTACATCTTCCGTTAAAACAAGTCATTCAGACCACTAAAACAACTATTATTCGAATATATATTTAATATTTTATGATAGGACCATGGCAATATTATGAAAAAGATAATGTGTTGTTTTTAAAATAAGAAATATATTCATAACATCAAACAACCATAAAAAACAGTGTTAAAAATAAGAAAGGTCTACGCTGAGCATTTTAAGAAATAGCGACAACACTACTTATTGTATACACAAAAAATCAAGGTTTACATGAGTGTATAGAAATATGGTCAATTCAGTGGACTTCGCAAGCCTCATGCATTCATGGAAAACCAATTCGCTGGAGGGTGTCTGTTTGACTGTTTTGTACACAGAAACATGGAGTCACATCCGTTCAGAATGCAAACATTTATTGAACTCATAGTCAAGCATTAAGACAATAACCTTTGTCAGTTTCGACCCTCTGTGCCCACACAATCTACTACCGAATTGATTAACTGTTTAATATATTATCGTCCTAAATATGGCCATGAGAAACAATTGCAATCAGCTTCAAGTAGTATGCAGTAATTTTGTGTGATTTATTCGCCAGTCGCCAGATTTTGGGTTCATCCGAGTAAACAGTACATAAGTACTTTGATATCAATATTTAAGGAGGAGATAATCGAATTCAGTATGAAAGGAAGTAATTTACCTGTATTATGGCTACGGCTGTGAATGAAAGTGATATTTTTACTTGTCCGATATGTTTAGAAAAACTTAAATCTCCTCAAAGTTTACCTTGTTTACACACTTTTTGTGAATTGTGCATCGGTGAGTTTATTTTATCAACAGAACGTCGGACAGGACATAAACTTTTGAGTTACCATTGTCCCGTTTGTAGATCAGTTGTTACGCCCACGACATCTGACAACGAAACATCTAAGTGGGCAGCCTCTCCACCGCGAAATTTAACAATTTCATCAAAGATGGACCAAGCAGAAAGTACAAAACAGGAGTGTCACATGTGCAAAAGACAAAACAATCAAAACGTGGCATTACACTGGTGTCGAGACTGCAGTGAAGCGTTTTGTGAAGAGTGTTTACGACTTCACAACCTTGTGAAGTTTTGCGTAGATCATAAAGTTGTAAAAATTGAAGAAATAAATACTTGCACTAGCGGAGGCGAACCCGAGTTGAGTTCCATATCTGACACATGTTCACTTCATCAATCGAAAATTTTAGACGTCTATTGTTTTGACCACCAAGAACTGTGTTGCGTTCATTGTTTAACCTTACATCACAGAAAATGTGAAAATGTTCAAGCTATTGATATGATGGAAAATCTTAACAATGATATTAAGATAGAAACGCTCACATTTGAACTAACTGAAGTCAAAAGTAAGATGGATAAACTAGCCGAGGAGAGGAATTTCGAAAATGAAAAGCTGATTTCCGTTTTTAAACAAATTGAAACGGATGCGAAAAATACTGTTGTAACGTTAAAGGAGAAACTAGATTGTCTTCTGGTTTCCGTTATCAAGGAATTGAACTTGATTCGCGATGAGCAGACACTTGATTGCGACAAAAAGTTGGAAACTGTAAAGACATTTTTGAATCGCATAAATCAGTTACAAAATATGACAAATGTTGTGCGACAGCATGGTACTCTTAATCAGAAGTTCATTCATTTTGAAAGATCAAAAATTGAATTGAAGTCTGCAGTCAAAGAAGCAAGCAGAACTTTGAATTCGAGTTCAATTGGGGATGCAAAATTTGTTTTGAACGAAACAATGAATCCAGTTGTAAATGCTGATTGCCTCGGTAAGATTAACATCACGAAAAATTCTACTGTAGATTGCGATCAATATGAAAAAGAGTTTTACACTAGAAAAAGTTCTCTGCTAGACAAAACTAGACCTCCACTTTCTTACGACAACATTTGTTTACAGCATCGTAAAACGATTTATTTGCCAGGCTTCAGCATTTACGCATTTGCTTATATATCGGAAAAAACAGTAATTATAGGTGGACATGAAAAAAGTTCATCTACGATAATAAAGGCTCTAGACATTTCAAATGAAAATATTTTAGCTGAATATAGCTCTTCAGAAACGATTAAAAGACTTGAATACGACTTCGAAACCAAATCCTTATTTGTTTCATGTAATAGTTCAAAATTGTTCAGTTTAAAATATGTCAACGAATTTAATTCCAAAATTACAATTAAAAAAAAAGCTCCCTCAAGAAATTATGACTTGTGCGTATTCGAAGGAATTTTATACGTAATGGTCGATAACGCTGTACATAAAATTAAGATCGAAAATGTACAAGAAGGAAACCTTCAAACATGTTTTACGACCGATGCAAACTGTACGCATCTTAATGGACTTGTCATCGACTGCAAGAACAGACATTTACTATACACATCAAACGGAAAAGAACTTATTTGTGTGTCATTAGATGGTAAAATCATTTTTTCGTATAAAGATGAACAATTTAATAAAATATCCAGTTTAGCGGTTCATCCTCAAGGAATTATAATCATTGGGAGTAGGGAAGGAGCGATATATGCTGTAAGTGAGGATGGAAAACGAATGCGAGTCCTTTTAGATAACTGCAAGGAATTCAAATGCATTAATAATATTTGTTGTAACACGAACGTAGCCGTCTGTGGATCTGAATATTTAGAAATTTACGATGTCACATATTAAGCAGAAAGACGAATTCAAGACAGTCATAGATTTAACCAAAAATTGTAATTATTACAAAAGGGGTTATAAAGTCGAAGATTAAAACACATCTTGTCTCCATAATTATAAACAAACGAGGCGATAGTTAACATGACATAGCCATCTACTTTGTAATAACTCTTACACTTTAAATTTTACTATTATTATGAATGAAAGAATATGTGGGTAATGCGCCGATGAGAGAATAAATACAAAAGTGTTGAAACGATGTTCGCAAGAATTTGGTCGGATTAAACGTATACATACTCCTGACCCACCGGGTAAAACGCCACATGCAGGGTATGTGTAAAACAGTAGAGGTAAATAAACAATTGAGATCAACAATACTTTAACGTTTTTCAAACTCATAAATCTACAAGAACATACACATCAAATTAAAAAACAAAATTGAAGGAATCGCATAAACTCCAAAAGGTGCGAGACCGGGTGTTTCAACAGGGTAAACGTCTTCTGCTGTATATGCATCAGCCACTATACCAATCCACACTCTAACACAAAGTAACAATCGGTAAATTTTGTTTGACCTTTATGGAATATCTTTTTCATAGATTACAACTGATTAGGTCCTTTATCGGATCTGCAATCCCGTCTCCTCGACTGTGAAATCATCGACTGAAACATCTACTGAATTTTAAATACTTATGAGGAAAAAAACGGGTTCAAATAACTGACTAGAAACTGCTCACACTTAGTGAGCACATGTGTTTACTAGCCTCCCTGCTTATGGAAGGGGTTATGTTGTGTAATATTTTCTGTGTACTGTTATTTGGACGGTTATTTGTCTTTCGTCATTATTGTCTCGACTAGAATGCAAGACATAGTGATAACAATCCGGCGGCGGCGGCGTAAACTATTTGTATTTATATAATAGAAGGTAGAACACCTGGATATTTGGTTCAGCGACTGCTTGAACAAAAAAATTGTTTTTTTTTGTCATGTGCATTTCTCATTCATTATGAGTAATATGTTAACCATATTTGGTATATAGGTTCCTTGCAAGGTCTGTCCTGACCTCGACCTCATTTCATGGATCACTGATGAAAGTTAAAGTTACATGATGAGTTCCAAATATCAGATACTGTAATCAGTACGTCAACTATATTTGGTATATGGAATGATTGCAAGGTGTTCATGTCATTCTGGCCGGTTTCATCTGACATTGACCTTAATTTCACGGTTCATGGCTCAATGTTAAGTTTTTGTATTTGGTCTGTTTTTCTAATACTATAAACAATAGGTCAACTATATTTGGTGTATGGAATGATTATAAGGTGTAGATATGTGTCTGACGGGTATCATCTGTCCTTGACCTCATTTTCAAAGTTCATTGGTCTCTGTTAAGTTTCAGTGGTTCGGCCTTCTTTTAAGATACTATAAACAATAGCTAAGATCACCTATATTTGGTGAATGGAATAATTGTTAGTTGTGCATGTACGTGTTTATCTGGTAGGGTTAATCTGACCTTGACCTCATTTTCATGGTTCATTTGTCAACGTTATAAGTTTTCCTGGTTAAATCTGTTTCTTCAATACTATTAGAAATAGGTCAACATTATTTGAACCATAGAATGTTTGTACGGTGTACATGTCTGTCTAGCAGGGTACATCTGACATTGGCCTCATTTTTATGGTTCATTGGTCAGTATAATGTTTTAATGGTTTATGTGATACTTGTATAACAAACACTCGATTGAATATATATTTAGGTTCTTTATTTAAAGGTCTAAAATGACATCAACATAATAACGTAGTCACAAAACACTATCATATAATACTATCAATACTAGTGGAAAGAAAGATAACTCTGACATGTCTATGAACAAGTAGATTTGCACTGAACAACATTCTAAATAAAATCATATTTGTCATTTTCATTTATCCCTTTAAATTCTAATTCGTAAACTCAAACGAACATAAAATATTTATCAAATAATCACAAACTCTTACATGGGAGACGCCACTTGCAGAGACAAGCGCACATTTTATTATAAATATGAGTATAATATTGTGGAAAGTTCATATAAATACACAGGTATTAAGCAGCTTGTACATGTACTGGTTTCCCCATACTAGTGGTCTACAAATCTGAAAATAAATAATATAATTAATAATATTATTTATTTGGCAAAATGCTACTGTACACTTTGACTGCAATGGCTCGAATGACTTTAAACCACCTGAGTTCACTCGTGCATGAACTCAATATCCCAATCGAACCGACCTTACTATAATTAACAAAACACTAGTCAACTATAAACAAACAACATTTTTTCATGTTCGATTTTTGTACATCTTTGATAAATACATTTAAATTCTAATTCGTAAACTCAATCGAACATAAAATATTTATCAAATAACCACAAACTCTTACATGGGAGACGCCACTTGCAGAGACAAGTGCGCTCGAAACACAAAGAACGGGAAAATAGCATTGAATATTTATTTGAATTCCTAAATTTTGATAAACAGATAACTGTGCTTTAAAGTCTTCTCTAACGTAACCATCCTTTCCTCTGTCCCATTTTAACCTGTTATGATTCAGAAAAATCCTATCAGAAATACAGGCGTTAGCACTGGCTCTTGTATACGAGAGACGTCTGGAATCATTTCGAAACCTATGAACATTGGACTTCTCAGTGAATGTTATTTTAACTAAAAATTTTAATCAAGGTGTATGTCAGCATCTTTAACATAGCTATTTAAAGAAGTTTATTTTGTTAAATAATATACCAATATGCATGTCTGAAGTTCAGCCTAATAGCTTCAATAAGAATCAGTATTGTCTAAATATTCGCCCTAGTGACTTTAGTAATAATATGCTAAGTTACTTTAATAATAAACAGCCCAGTGGCTTCATCAACAACCACCTGCCCGTTTTCTGTAATAACAAACCTGTCCAGTGTTTTCAACAGCAACCAGCACAATGTCTTCAATAACAACCTAACCAGTGTCTTCAACAACAACCAGCCAAGTGCCATTAATATCAACATGCCAAGTGTTTTCAACGACAACCAGCCCAGTGTCTTTAATAACAAACCGACCCAGTGGCTTATACAAAAACAGGCCCAGTGTCTTCAACAATAACCAGTCCATAATTTTCAACAACAACCAGCTCAGTGTCTTCAATAACAACAAGTCCAGTGTCTTCAATAACAACCTGCCTAATGTCTTCAACAACAACCAGCACAGTGTCTTCAATAACAACATGCCTAGAGGCTTCAACAACAACCTACCGAATGTCTTCAACAACAACCTGCCCATAGTTTCCAACAATAACATGCCCAGTGTCTTTAACAACAACCTGTCCAGTGTCTTGAATAACTACCAGCCCAGTGTCTGCAATAACAACCTGCTCAGTGGCTTCATTAACAAACAGCCAAGTCACTGCAAGTGTCTTCAACATCTACTAGCCCAGTGTCCTCAACACCCAGCTCAGTGTCTTCAACAACAACCAGCCCAGAGTCTTCAATAACTACAAGCCCAGTATCTTCAAAAAACAACATGCCCAGTTGCGCCAATTACAACATGCCCAGTGGCGTCAATAACTGTAACTACCAGCCCAGTGGCTTAATTAATTACGACTTGCCAAGTGGCTTCAATAACAACCAGTCAAGTGTTTTTCACAAGATACTTTTCACTGGTGTCAATAACAACCTGCTCAGTGTCTTCACTAACAACCTGCTCAGTGGCTTTACAAACAACCTGCCATGTGGCTTTAATACCAACCTGCCCAGTGGCATTAATAACATGCCCAGTGGCTTAAATAACTATCGGCCTATAACTTAATTTACGCATGTCCAGTGGCTTCAATAACACCCTGCCCATTGGCATTAATAAAAAAACCCTGCCCAATTGCGTCAATAATAACATGCCCAGTTGCGTCTATAACAACCTGCCTCGTGGCTTAATTAACTATCAGCCCAGTGGCTTTAATTACAACTGGCCCAGTGTCTTCAATAACACACCCAGTGACTTCAACAACCTGCCTGTCCATTGGCGTCAATAACAACCAGCCAAGTGTCTTCAACAATAAACTGCCAAATGCTTTACAAGCAACCTGCCCAATGGCTTCAATAACAACACGCCCAGTTGCGTCTATAACAACCTGCCTCGTGGCGTCAATAACAACATGCCCAGTGGCTTAACAAACAACCTGCCCAGTGGCGTCTACAACAACCTGCCTCGTGGCGTCAATAACAACATGCCTAGTGGCTTAACAAACAACCTGCTCAGTGGCGTCAATAACAACCTGCCCAGTGGCTTTACAAACAACCTGCCCAGTGGCTGCAATAACAACACGCACAGTGGCGTCTATAACAACCTGCCCAGTGACGTCTATAACAATCTGACCAGTGGCGTCAATAACAACCTGCCCAGTGGCTTTACAAATAATTACGCTCAATGGCTTCAATAACAACACGCCCAGTTACGTCTATAACAACCTGCTTCGTGGCGTCAATAACAACATGCCCAGTGGCTAAACAAACAACCTGCCCAGTGGCGTCTACAACAACCTGCCTCGTGGCGTCAATAACAACATGCCTAGTGGCTTAACAAACAACCTGCCCAGTGGCGTCAATAACAACCTGCCCAGTGGCTTTACAAACAACCTGCCCAGTGGCTGCAATAACAACACGCACAGTGGCGTCTATAACAACCTGCCCAGTGACGTCTATAACAATCTGCCCAGTGGCGTCAATAACAACATGCCCAGTGCCCTACAAACAAGCTGCCCAGTGGCTTCAATAACAACACGCCCAATGGCGTCTATAAAACCTGCCCAGTGGCATCAATAACAACCTGCCCAGTGGCGTCTATAACAACCTGCCCAGTGGCGTCAATAACAACCTGCCCAATGGCTTTACAAACAAACACGCCCAGTGGCGTCTGTAATAACATGCCCAGTGGCTTAAATAACTACCAGCCCATGGCTTGAATTACGACATGCCCATTGACTTCAACAGCATCCTGTCCATTGGTATTAATAATAATCTGCCCAGTGGTGTCAATAACAACATGCCCAGTGGCGTCAATAACAACATGCCCAGTGGCTTAATTAACTATCAGCAAAGTGGCTTAAATTACAACTTGCCCAGTGTCTTCAATAACAACACGCCCAGTGGCTTCAACAACCTGCTCAGTTGCGTCAACAACAATCAGTCCAATGGCTTCAACAACAACATGCCCATTAGCTTCAATAACAACATGTCCAGTGGTTTAAGACAAGTGGCTTTAATTACGACATGCCCAGTGGCTTTATTAACAACTAGTCCAGCGGCTTCAATAACAACCATCCAGTGACTTCAAAAACAACCTGTCCAGTGGATTTAATGATTAACAGCCCAGAGGCTTAATATAACTATCAGTCCAGTGCCTTCAATAACAACCAGTCCAGTGGCTTCAATAACAACCTTTCCAGTGACTTCAATAACAACCATTCCAGTGACTTAAATAACAACCTGTCCAGTGGATTTAATGCCCATAGGCTTAATATAATATCAGTATAGTGCAGTCAATACAGCATGTCCAGTGTCTTCAATAACAACTAGTCCAATGGCTTCAATAACAACATGTCTAGTGTATTTGATGATAACAGCCCAGAGGCTTAAATAACTATCAGTCCAGTGCCTTCAATTACAACATGCCCATTGGCATCGATGACAACCAGTCCAATGGCTTCAATAACAACCAGTCCAGTGACTTCAATAACAATAGTCAAGTGGCTTCAATAACAATAAGTACATATGCTTCAATAATATCCAGTCAACGGCTTCAATAAAATCAGCACAGTGGCTTCAATGACAACCAGTCTGGAGCACGTGGTTTCCAAATTTTTACCAACACATGCAGTAAATTTTACAATCAATCAGCCCAGTGATTAAGACAAATAGATACTCAAAAAGTAAAAAACCCTAAAGAAATCTACTAGTATCATTCCCAGTGGTAAATTAAGCAACAATAATCAAAATGAAACTCTTGGTAACTGTATTATAGTTTAGCTACAGCTCATGATAACTATACATTATAAAACCTGCGCATGTCAGAACTCTGAACAAGGATAAACAAAACCAAAAACAAAAATTTTTATAGTCCAATTCCTTTCTCTGAATTAGCTTCTGAAACAAATTCAGCATTATTAAATATTTCTTGTTAAATATAACAGTATAACTGGCGGAACTGTGATAAACTGGATATAAGAACCATAATCAATCATGTCTAAGACAAATGAATGTTTAGCATTAACTTTCAAATACTTATATATGTTCTTCTCATTTCCCTAAACAGATCATGAAGAGGGATTCTTTTTCATAATCAAATGACATGTACTGAATTACAATCTAAATGTTCATTTTTATAATAAATTTGAATTTCAATATGATGAAAAACAATACATGATGTAAACAATACTTATCACCTTGATCTTTAAAACGCTCTTGTTCCTTGTGCTACTTGGTCCGTCAAGGTCCATGTTACAGCAGACCTAGTTTTCTTCTCATCCTCGGAATCCTAAGCAAGCTCGTCTGATAGGTATTCTTTGACTGTATCCCCTTCTGCTGGTGACTTGTCAGCGATCTTAATACACTTGTTCCGCTTAAGAATTTTCTCCATAAGGTCATAGCTAATATCCACGACTTTAGAATATTCATCACGCTCGGCTGCACGTTTGATCCTGGATACTATATAATCAATTTCAGAATTAAATTCGTGCTGAACATGCTTACTGTAACTTTAACTTATAAGAAAGTCTTGATTTTAGCTGTTTATAAACAAGGTTTCTGATTTATTCGTCGCGTCTTCCAGAAGTTCCATCTTTAGGCTATCAATTTTACTATTTAAATACTGTTTAAAATTGTTCAAGGTTATGTCTGCAATTTTGGTTACCATATCTTCATTGTTATGTCAGTATCATTATATCATAAAGGTGATTTTCTTCACGTTCAGAACTTGCCATATGACGAAAAGTACAAGTTGAAGATAAACTAATAAAATGCTACTGTACACTTTGACTGCAATGGCTCGAATGACTTTAAACCACCTGAGTTCACTCGTGCATGAACTCAATATCCCAATCGAACCGACCTTACTATAATTAACCAAACACTAGTCAACTATAAACAAACAACATTTTTTCATGTTCGATTTTTGTACATCTTTGATAAATACATATATTTTCTGTCTCAAAGACTCAACTGAAACTTGTTTCTTACATGTTTAATGTTTTTTGCAGCTCATAAACTTAATTGTGATACATATTCTGTTCCCATGTAAAAATATACTTCTACATGAATTCATAAATATTAGTAAATGAAGTAAAACAGTACAGCATTATGAATTTATAACTAATGTGTTCAGTGTTTAAAAACATGACGTCACAATATGAACACATAATAAACATACAAATATTTGTTCCCTTAGATGCTAAAAAAAATAAAGGTTTTTGAAATGAAGATTTAACCATTTAATTACTATTTATTTATTATACACAAGAAAACTTTTTCTGTCTGTTTTATATTACATCACTCTATTATAATCTATTATTAAAAGATTAATTATTTTTCAAATTCTAATGAGTTTAAGGCATTTTAAAGTGAATTAATTGTATTTATCATTCATTAAGATCTGATTCACCTACAGATTCTTCGCCATTCAACCAATCAATCTTACCAAATCTTGCATACTAAAAATAGTGTGAGAAAAGTATATACAACTGATATGTAAAGTACTAATAGAGATTCACAAAGAATATGCAGTAACTACAGCAACATATATCAAAGCAATTTAACAATCTGTTCAGAATCCAAAAATATGACTGCTCAGTGAGTAAATTGAAGTGAGAGTGCCTACCCCACAAAAAGAACATGTGACCAAAATCTCTATCCATTAAGAAATATAGCCTTAATGAAAATTCTAAATATAGAAATCAAGGTAACATCGAATAAATTATAAATGTGCCCTGGTACACAAATAATGCCTCCGCTTGCATATAACGTTATAAAGGGGCATAACTAGAGAACTTTGAAAGTGTCAAATATGTAAACACAATCCCGTCCTCTTTTTCTCGAATGTGACCTACCGAACAAGACTTATCATTGAGTAAAAACTTACGTGATCAGCACGACGGGTGCCACATGTGGAGCATTATCAGCTTACCCTTCTGGAATACCTGATACCCCCAGTTTATGGTGGGGTTCGTGTTGCTGTGTGTACTGTTGTTTGTCGTTTTTCGTTTTTTGCCATGGCATCGTCAGTTTATTTTCGACTTATGGGTTTGAATATCCCTTTGGTATCTTTCTCTCTCTTTTTTTTTTGATAAACAGTGCCAAGGAATAGTAGATGACCGTAATTTTTTTTTGGGCAAAACCTTCCGGAAATTAGGGTCCTCAATGCTCTTCAACTTCGTACTTGATTTGGCCTTTAAACTTTTTTGATTTGATCGTAAACTATGAGTTTTTTGTAGACGAAATGCACGTCTGCTGTACAAAGTTATAAGGCTGGTATTTTGTTTAGTTTTATTTTGCATACGCTTATTGTTCCTTTATGTAATACCCTTGTTGTATGTTTCAACAATATTATACAGCTACCCTATCTTCAACTCTGTATCTAAAAGAAAATTAAGTCAAGCTTGTAAATGATGATGATTTTGTTTAGGAAATCCGAGTTATGTACTGTTACACAATTGCTTACCGTATGTTGGAGTTACTACCTCGCATCACGATGCGTATCTATTAGTTTCATATGAAATCAACGCATTCTAAAAACTATTGCGTAATAAAATTTAGTTCTGATTGGTTTCCAGATGATAATGCTTAGATTCTTTTGGCTGAAATGGATTATAGAGTGTGGTAGAACTGCTACATTTCTCACTCGAAATAATTTGGCTGAAATGGATTATAGAGTGTGGTAGAACTGCTACATTTCTCACTCGAAATAAAATACTTGGTCTTCGGACTTTTATGTTCAAAAATTGGAGAGAGCGAGCGAACTTTGTTTTTTCTTCCTAAATGAATATGTTACCAAGCGATGCATTAAATTTGGCGATAGCAAGACACATTTTAAATTTGTATTCTAAGATACGATGTTTTCAGAAGCGAGAAATTATTTTAAAAACCTAGAAAAAATGCAATGTTCTGTGAATTATGGGGTGAGTGATGACATTTTAAAAATAAAATTGTTGATTTGAGGGACAAGTTATAAAGTCTTCACGGAATGGCGGTAAACCATTTCTTTTAAGGTTTCCAAAACAAAAATTTTGAGAGAGCGTATCTGAAGAACTATGAACCAATTTGGAGTAGCCTAAAAATGAACAATTTGCTATTGTTTGAAATTGTATTAATGTATATAACATCTGTCAGTTAATCTAACAATAGACACTTTTTCATACTTTACATGAAAGCTTACTGAAAAAATCTAACTATCTTGATCTCTAATCCTTAAACAACGACTTATAATAGTATTTCTAAACTATTCATTCTAGCGCAAATTTGAAAAAATACCAAAAGTAGATGGAAATTATGACGAAGAAAGAATATTCATGATTATATAACACCTTAAAGATAGATCTTCACTAACTAAGCGCATTTTAAAGTAAAATATAATGTATTACTCCATATCACATTTCAGTCACAAAAAAATCCCTGTTTAAGTTACGTGGCGTTATGTCGTTGACGTTACTTTAACAACTTGAGGAGTTTCGGGATATAATATTGCTGACCCTTCATATATGAAATAAAATATATAACAACGAATCCTATTACATCAACCATTTTCAAAAAATAATTAATTATAACTTGACATATTGTTAACATACACTTATTGAAGACCGTATTATGACCTTTTTTGTCGGTTGTTTGTTGTCTCAATGACGTTCTCCCCAACTCTCTTTCATTTCGTCTTCCGATGGAAATGAGGGCATGTTGGATAATACAATCAAATCGCAATGCAACAGGTCACATACAAACTTCTCAAAGTGATTTTAGACGCGGCACCTTCTACACGAGGCATGAGATTTGACGCTCCTATCCCGAACGGACCGCACTTCTCCCAATATTTTAACAGTCCACATGGTCAACTGGTCAAGTCAATACTAAAGATCGGCGTGCGTTTGGTTGTGTTTGTATAAATAAGCATATAATGGCAGTCCATAGATGACACATATTACACATAATGTCAGATAAGAATTTAAAAAGATAAAATAAAATCGATATTTATTTCAATAAGGGAATATCAAGTTTTATCAGTGTAACCTGTACAATAGCAACGTCTTATCAGGTAAACACATTTGTACACGTAACATAGGAATTTGTGTTTTTATTGGTAAGAACTGTTATTTCATAATGCATATCATTTTGTTGTCATATTTGTATTTTCTGACTTTGTCCAATTACAAATTGTGGGTTGTCAACGGAATTAAGTTGCGTATTAAACTTGTACTAGTATTAATTGTAACTGGAAATATTTCATTCATAAATCAATCATTGAGCATGTTGAATTATTAAACTGATGTAACTATGCTATTTTTACCTATTTACGTGAGCTTAGAGTTTTGTTTTCTCTAAATATATTAGCATTTCTTGCCATATTCCAAGACATCATGCTTTCCCATAATGCATCGTTCGTACATCCTATAAATGAGTACATGTCGTTATATTTTGCAACCAGTGGGCTAGGATCCTAGGCTAGGACTTTATTTCACTACCTAACCCATTGATGGTAGTTAAAGAAAATCAGGTGGCTCTCCACAGTTATCTTCATCTGTGTGTGTGTTTACGTGTGCATGTGCATGTTTTAAAGTTGTAAGCGCAATTCGTAGTCTGGATGATTGGAATATTTCATTGAATTTACACGACTGAAAGTTTACATTGAGAAATATGATTAGTATGCTGATCTTTGACTTAACCATTTGATTTACCATTTTTCATAGCTACACAAGAGATTCTTAAACACAATTCATTTTAGGTAAATATGGGATGGGGGAATTCAGTAGAACTTTGTAGTTTCCATATTGGTATTTACAAGTAGACATATATAATATATGTAACATTTTTATGTTGTTACCTAACACACAGTGTATCATCACAACCGGATATAGGTACCCTCGAAGCGGTGAAAAAAACACAAACAAATTATTCCCCGTATACAGTAAAAAATGTTCGCCGTACAATTTATCAGCTTAAACTACAGGAATTTCTCTGTGAAAACAATAGTTTATTTCGAAATAGAGTGTCGTTCAAGCTTAAATATAATATAACTTTGTTCTACGAAAACTTCAAATGAATAGTTGAAGGATACATGTATATTTAAAAAGTTTGAACTCGTCACATGTTTCTTTGAACAGGTACCATCTTGTCGAATCCTGACGATATGAAGAGAACGAAAACCAATTACGGAAATAAGCCTAAATAAATAGCTATATTATTAGGAATAAGTATAACATAACTTTACTAGTCAGTAAAACATGGAATATAATGAAAATAAGAAGAACTAGACCTAAAGACACACCCACGTTCGTTTTGATCTAGAAAGAGGTTAAACTCCTAACTATCCTTCTGTCTGTCGATACATTTGTTTTTGGCATTGCACTAGTTATGTCTTCTTTGACTGTCCATGACGTTAAAATACTAAATCCCTGGGATGTATTTTAGTTGATTTTAGTCTCTGATGCATGATTTTTTATTATTAATTGTTTTGGCTTTTAACTAGCTGTCAGTAACTGCGAGTACTCTCAAATCGTACTTTCTTGTTTATTTGACCTGTTGATACTAATTGTATTGCTCTTTTGTTATTTAATGTTATTCAGGGTTATATCTGGTCTATATACCAGCTTTAATAAGTGTTTGGTATTACTATAAAGTTTCACTTCGTACTATGAACATCAAAATTATTTATTTTGTAAAAATATTTCCTTTCTCTATTGGTACTGTATACGTATACCTAACAACAAAATTATGTTCATTTACCTGTGTTTAAAGTTATTGCAAACGGCTGATATTTTTGTTCGAGAAGATTGTTTTTCTTTAATTGTTTAACATTTCATACCTATATAACATGTTACTTTTATTATTCTCCCCTTAGTTTATTTATTTTGTATTTACATTGTATCATAGGTCAAATTTATTTGTTCAGTGTATGT